CCATTGACAGGTGTGACGGATGATAATGGTGTGCCTTTTCAACTAAAACATCCACTGTCACACATACATTATACAAATAAGGATGCCCTCTGAAACACAGCTGGTCATATTGTCTTTTTACTTATAGCGAGAGGTCGGTTTATATTGTTCAGTTGCTGCTGCTTTTAATTGATAAACAGGAGAGTGATAGAACGTATTGGTTATTTTCCTTAGCAGCAATCTAAATGTCTTGGTTAATTAACGACACTAATGCAACAGCGGAGGATATCACGTGTGAAAGCCAACAGGAGGGTCATATATTCTGGGCTTTTGCCACTGTAGTTTCCTTTGTTTTGGGATTTCCTGGAGCTGTGGCCGTCGTTTTGGACCTTTTTCAGAAAAGAAGAAAGGGAACCCCGTTCACTTCCAATGATGTCTTTATGTCAAATCTCCCCATCATGGATGCGCTTTATTTGACTGTTCTACTGCCAAAGATAGGTGGCATATCAATCAAGATTAACTCTGTGTATGCAAAATTGTTTTACACCACGTTTTCATTCAACTTCAAGCTGGCAATGTCCTTGATCTCATATTCTCAAGGAACTGCGCTACTTCTAACCTCTCCCGCTCCACACATCCGATCACTTCTTCATTTCATTCTCTCTATCCCTTTCCAAACATAACAAACTAATCTCTTCTCATCCTGCACTTGTCCGCCGTAACCTTCGCTCCCTCTCCCCCTCTACCTTTGCCTCGTCGGTGCTCTCAGCCCTCCCTTCCTCTGACTCGTTCCAACTCCTGCCTCCAAACTCTGCTGCAGAAACTCTCCTCTCTACTCTCTCATCCACTCTGGACTCGCTCTGTCCTCTCACATCTCGGCAGGCTCGTCAGTCCCCTCCTGCTCCCTGGCTAAATGATGCACTGCGTGCTAATAGAACCGTCCTTAGGGCAGCAGAGCAGAAATGGTGGAAATCCAAACACCGTGACGACCTCCTAACCTATCAAGCTCTCCTCTCCTCTTTCTCTGCTTCGATCTCTCAGGCAAAAAGCACTTTCTTTCAAGATAAGATCCAATCTTCCTATTCCAATCCTAAAAAACTATTTTCCATCTTCTCCACCCTCTTGGACCCTCCAAAAGCTCCTCCCCCCTCCTCACTTCTGTCAAGCGACTTTGTTACCCACTTTGAAAAAAAGGTTGATGATATTCGCTCTTCTTTTTCTGACTCACCTTTACTCACCGCTGGGTCACCAGACCCTCCTTTCACCCACACACTGACCTCCTTTCCCCCTCTCTTTCCAAGTGAGGTTCTTACCCTCATTACCTCTGCCCGCCCTACCACCTGTCCTCTGGACCCTATCCCTTCAAACCTCCTTCAGACTATCGCTCCTGATATTCTACCGTTTCTCACCCATTTCATCAACACTTCTCTAACTTCTGGTCACTTTCCGAACAGTCTCAAGGAGGCAAGAGTAAACCCTCTCCTAAAGAAACCCACTCTCAACCCGTCTGATGTTATAAACTACAGGCCTGTCTCTCTCCTCCCGTTCCTGTCTAAATCACTTGAACGCGCTGTCTTTAAACAACTCTCCTGTTATCTCAATCAGAACAACCTTCTGGATCCGCACCAGTCTGGTTTCAAGGCAGGTCACTCCACAGAAACTGCTCTCATTGCTGTCACGGAGGAACTGCACACTGCCAAAACTGCATCCCTCTCCTCTGTCATCATCCTGTTGGACCTGTCTGCTGCATTCGACACGGTGAATCATCAGATCCTCCTTCGCACTCTCCAAAAACTTGGAGTTTCAGGCTCTGCACTTTCCCTCCTCACCTCATACCTGAAAGACCGTACCTACAGGGTGACTTGGAGAGGGTCTGAGTCTGACCGTTGTCAATTAACTACGGGGGTCCCTCAGGGCTCTGTTCTTGGTCCCCTCCTCTTCTCCCTTTACACAAACTCGCTCGGATCAGTCATTAGCCCGCATGGTTTTTCTTACCACTGCTACGCTGATGACACCCAATTAATTCTGTCCTTTCCCCGCTCAGAGACCCAGGTCGTCGCACGCATCTCTGCTTGTCTAGCTGACATCTCTCAGTGGATGTCTGCTCATCACCTCAAACTCAACCTTGACAAGACTGAGCTGCTCTTCCTTCCGGGAAAAGATTGTCCCACTCTTGACCTAACAATCAACATCGGCACCTCAGTTGTTTCCCCGACTCAGACTGCAAGGAATCTGGGTGTGACCCTAGATAACAACCTGTCCTTCACTGCAAACATCGCTGCTACAACCCGTTGCTGCAGATACACGCTTTACAACATCAGGAAGATACGTCCCCAGCTGACACAGAAAGGGCTCTCGTCATCTCACGCCTAGACTACTGCAACTCCCTCCTGGCTGGTCTACCTGCATGTGCCATCCGACCTCTGCAGCTCATCCAGAATGCAGCGGCTCGTCTGGTCTTCAACCTTCCTAAATGTTCCCACACCACTCCGCTCCTCCGCTCGCTTCACTGGCTTCCGGTAACTGCTAGAATCCACTTCAAGACACTAGTACTTGCGTACCATGCTGCGAATGGATCTGGCCCTTCGTACATCCAGGACATGGTTAAACCGTACACCCCAGCGCGTGCACTACGCTCTGCATCAGCTAAACGACTCGCTGCGCCCTCGCTGCGAGGGGGACCCAAGTTCCCAACGGCGAAAACACGTGGGTTTGCTGTCCTGGCTCCAGGATGGTGGAATGAGCTCCCCATTGACATCAGGACGGCAGATAGCTTGCACATCTTCCGGTGCAAACTGAAAACTCATCTCTTTCGACTCCACTTCGAGCGATAGAACTATTAACGAAGCACTTTTATACTAATAAAGGACTGGCTTTTCTAAAGCCAGTTGAGTAGCACTTGAAATGTTTTTGCTCTATGAAACCTGATGTACTTATATGATTCTGTTTTCTTCAAGTTGTATTTTGTTGGACGAACGCACTTATTGTAAGTCGCTTTGGATAAAAGCGTCAGCTAAATGCAATGTAATGTAATGTAATGTAACTTGTGTGGGAGGCCTCTCTTTATTACCTGCATCTGTCTGGACTGCTACATGGCGGTAGTTCATCCTGTTACGTATAGAGTGAGAAAGAGTTTGACTCCGAGGGTCTCGATGGCTGTTGGTGTTTGGGCTGTGACACTAATTTATGGATTTTATGTTACTACCATAGAGAGTGCGATTTTGACTGACCCCACCATGATCTTGTTTTTTTCTCTGACTCTGCCTGTAATTGGATTTTGTGACTTCTCCATCCTCTGGACCCTGAAGAGATCTAACCCTGGAGGAGGAGAAGTCCACCCCCAGAAGAAGAAGGCTCTGCAGATCATCATCAACAACCTTGTAGTTACCTTTACTTCCTATTTTCCTCCAATAATTGTTTGTCTTTTCTCAAAGTGTCTGCACTTTGATGACCGAACCATTCAATGTCTTATGATGATTCCAATGATGGGCATCACTAATTTAGGAAATTCAGTGTCCCTCATTTTGCATTTAAACAATCTGGGAAAACTGGATTGGCTAAAATGTTGGCAGCATAAATGAACCTCGTTCAACCTTTTGTTCGTTCAGTTGACCAACACGTCAGCTTAATTTAAAATCAGTGGTTTAATCCGGGTTGATTTAATCATGCTTCCATCCTCTTCGGAGCATTTCAAAACTCATCATAACCATCCATTTTTTAAATGTAATTGATTACTTAGAAAGCCCTTGGCATTGCTCCGAGCTGTTTATTGGACTTACAGCCCTTTGTCGCTTCCTGCCCGCTGAGATCCTCAGATTAGAACGGCTCTTATGTAATTATATTAGTGTTGTATTACTTTCTATTTGGTTTACTTTCTTAGTTGTAAAATGTGTGTTTAGTTGATGGTTTTTCATTTTCTGTATGCAAATGTTCATGTTTTTATGTGAAATCACTGTGTCCATGTTAATTGTTGTGGCAGCAGGATATTAATGAAGTGCCATAGATTTTGACAAGATGATATCTGTTTTTCTTTTAAACTGTTGCCGTGGTAATCCTTTTAGATGTCATGCTGTAATATATTCAGGTCTTAATAAAGAAGTACATCACAAGGCCTTTAAAACTAGTTGTATTTTTAATGCAACTGCATTTTATGATTTGTATGGACATATTGTTTTATTTCTGGTTTTCAATATTTGTATATCATTGTGACATGTCTGTGTATGTAATATGTCTATTTCAAAACTTTAGAGTACCAGGTCTTATTTCCACTATGATGAACACACTGCTGGATCATAACCTGTATGCAATTTAGTGCACGACTTAATTAATATAAATGTGCTACTTTTTCCAACCAAGGGTGCTTGGGTTGTGCTTTTTCTATAAATAATTAGCTAATTGTAACTTTGTTCGTATGAGTAAGACACGAGAATACTTCAAAACATACTCAAAACACAGTTCACAGTTGGAGGGAACCTGTTAATGTAACACTGAATTGAAAACTTCATGTTTCATTACTTGATACTCAACTAATGTGGGGTTTAAGTGATTTATTTGTAAACATTATTATTACTATTATTTTTTTTAAATTATTGTTATTATTATTGTTATCTAGATTCAAAAACAATTGTCTAATAAACAAAAAAATATATTATATTTTATTATATCGAGCTGTCATAATATAACTATATTTACAGCATGCACAAAAAAATCAATGGATCAAGAAATCACGTGACATTCTCAAAACAGGAAGTAAAAAGACTGCAACAAAACTTTCTTCCTTCAGAACAAAAGCTTCCATTATGTCGCTTTACAATACCGGCTCTAGTCTGAATTAAACAAACTAGAAGACTAACAGTTAATTCTCATTTCAATCTTAGACAAGTGGCAGGTTTTCACATAACGTAGATGTGAATGTATCTAAAAATCTGTATTTTATCACTGAAAAGTAACAAAAGATTCGACAAACGTTTATCAGCGAGTGTTTTATTTTGAAAAACGTTGACCAGATATGGTGTGCGAGTGTGAAACTTGTTGCCCCCTGGCCCCTGATGAGAGTCCATGCGAATAGTGGAGACACTGTACTGTCACTGTAACACACTTACGGCCCGGCGTCACCTCCCTCCAGGAATGACTCTGGTAATGCTCTACGTCGGCTGTGGAAGCTCCCGTCCCGCCGTGCCTTTGTGAGTCCTGACCGACCCAGACTCCCCAACATGGCCTCAGCGGTAATGTTAGCCCGCTGCACATCTGTCCGGTTCCCCGCTGTGGCCACCGCCGTCCTGTTGCTGCTGTATATAAGCACCGTGCATGCATCCCAAGGCGACAAGGAGCCAGTTTACCGGGACTGTGTGAAGCAATGCGTCGGGAGCAACTGCACCGGAGCTCGGCTGCGGAGCTTCCAGTCCAGCCAGCCGCAGTACATGGCACTGACAGGTGAGATGTTGTTATTGTTGTTAGGTGGGTTAGCTAACTTGCTAGCAGTCTCTACAATTATAAGTGCACACTTAGAGGTAATATATAAATATATCCTTTATGTTATTTAACAGTATGTGTTGCTCATCCTAGTATCTTAAGCTACTCTGTGTCACGGCTCATGGCTGCAACGTGACTTTCTCACCTCTGATGGAACATGTGATACTGGTTCATTAACCGAAACAGCTTTGAAAGTGGAAAGCCAGTTTTTCTGGAAAAGTAAGGTGTCAGTCACAAAAGGCCTATTGTGACTCCACCCATGGCCCATCATTAACAATTGTATAGTGTGTTTGTGTGAGAATGTAAACAAGACATTACATTTTTGAAGAAAATAAGCAATCGATACAGTAATACAATCAGATAAGAGAAACCGAGAATTAGTGCCTCCATTTCCCAAATAAATGGGACCAATTATGTAATCTACCAGTAACCAGTTGACTTGATCTGTCAGATAAAGAACATTGTTTTTAAAAAGCACATTTAATAATTTACCAGGGCCCAAAGGACGACATCTTTAAATGTCTTATTTTGTTTGACCAAAAACAGTCTTGTATGTGTATACTTTTTTAATATATATGATATATGACATAAAACAGAGAAACAATACCAATTCTGATATTGGAGAAGCCAACTGGATAATGTTTTCAATTTAAGCTTTAAAAAACGTAATTAAATGTGTGGTTCTAGCTCTCTATTTGAACAATTGGAACCAAGTAAGTAGCCAATATAAGGCTTAGCAGTACAGATAAATGTGGGCTCACTATTTGGCAAGCAACCGGTCACAGTTGCCCTGTTTATCTCATGTCTTATAAAAGATTATTAAGGATTTCTAAAGTGTTCACAACCTAATTAATAAATGAATTACAAACTATTCATAAACCCTTTATAAGGGTAGGTTTATTGTAAAGTGGTCCCAAACAATTGTAAAAAACATTTCCCAGATGTATTTTACTGTAGCATGTTCAGACCGTTTGGGCTTTTTTTTGTTCCAGGTTGGACATGTCGCGATGACTGTCGCTATCAGTGCATGTGGACCACGGTGGGTCTCTACCAGGCCGAGGGGTACAGTGTCCCTCAATTCCATGGCAAGGTTTGTGTTCAATGCATCACACTGATCTGTAGTTAAAAAACACTCAAAGTGCTCCGGTGTTGGTTTAGTTTCACCTATTTGACTGATATGTGGATATATAACTGCTGTATTTTGTTCCTCATAGTGGCCGTTTGTGCGCTTCCTGTGTTTTGAGGACCCAGCCTCCGCTCTGGCCTCCCTGCTGAACGGCCTAGCCTGCCTCCTCATGCTGCTGCGCTATCGGAGCACGGTGCCACGCCAGAGCCCCATGTACCACACCATCAACGCCTTCTCTCTGGTGAGATGGACAACATGAAAGAATTTATCATAATAAATACACTGATACCTCTATGTTTTAACACTCATATGCATATTAACAAGAGCCTGTGTGTTTCTCTAGGTTTCTCTTAATGCCTGGTTCTGGTCCACAGTTTTTCACACCCGGGACACCTATCTCACTGAGGTAATGATTATTAATAATAATTAGATCATCAGGTTTTTATGACCGACCACTTAGCAGAGAGTATGTGATTTGATGTTCTCTACCTGACTGATGTCGAATAAAGAGTCTCCCATTCCAGCCTTATTTAGTTCTGTATTATTGGCTAATGAGCATAGCTAGTCAGTTACATCTTAATGCCATTACTAAACAGCCCTCACAATGCGTGCCACATATTTTCAGTAACAAACAAGTCAAGATGTTGGTTTTTGTTGTCAGTAAACATGTTTTTTGTCTCTATGTGATGATCTCTTCCAGAAAATGGACTACTTCTGTGCCACAGCGGTCATTCTTTACTCAATCTACCTATGCTGTGTCAGGTAAGCTTTTAAAGTGCTTTGAGCACCAGGAAAAGCTCTATATAAATAACATGTATTATTATTATTATTATAAATCACTTTTTTTGTCCTCTAATGCAGATGGAAATATCGTGGCAGGAAAACTAGTCTTAGGCTTTTATATTTGTAATAACGAGTGAATAGTATACTAATCTCAATTTTGTCACTGATGATATCAATAAGTTGCAAGACAAGGAAATATTTTGGTGAATGTATAATGTATCTATAACACATGATTTCTGTTTACTCTCTGTCAGAACGTTGGGTCTGAAGCGACCGGGGGTTTCCAGCATGGTGGGGGTCCTGCTCATCTTGGCCTTTACCTCTCATGTGTCCTACTTGACCTTTGTTAGTTTCGACTATGGCTACAACATGGCGGCTAACACATCCATCGGTACAGTGAATGCAAAAAAAAATCATATTAAAGCTTGTATTTGGTTTGGTCATAATCAGTCTGAAGTTTGAGCAACTTGCAGAATATTATTCCTTGGTCATGACGTTTTTCTCCTTGTCTTTCTTATCTTTCTCCGTGCTTGTGTACTGTTGTTTGGTCTTAAAGGCATGGTGAACCTGCTGTGGTGGCTGTGTTGGTGCTGGCAGAACCGGCGGACGCTGCCCTACTGGTGGAAGTGCGGCCTGGTGGTGGTGCTGCTCCACGGCCTGGCTCTGCTGGAGCTGCTCGACTTCCCCCCGATGTTCTGGATCCTGGACGCTCACGCTGTGTGGCACCTCAGCACCGTACCAGTGCACTTCCTCTTCTACAGGTTTGTCCACTCACCTTTGTGTCACAGCTTTACAGAAAATAAGAACTGTCGGAAGAGAGAAAAAGACTATATTGAAGTTTTGAAATTCAAATATATTGCTGCTTTTAGCTTAGAGTGTGGAAAGAGAGGATTAAATACCATATACAAAAAGATAATAATTGTGCACATTAATAGACATTTTATCGGAAACACAATATGAACTAGTGCAATATTCACATTTGGATTAGGTAAAATATTTGGTAATGGCAAAACAAGTGAAAGTATAATTTGAGGCTTATTATTTCGGAGCTCCAGAGAAGTCCCAGCCAATAAACAGGATTGCACAGATTTTTATAAAAATCATTGTTTGGTACAGATCCTCTTAAAAAAACAAACATCATTATCATTTTTATGTATTTTCCAATGATTATGTAAACAATTTCAAACAAAAGATAATTCCCTCTAATATCGTGAATCCCATCGCAACTTTAAAATCATTCGAAAAATGGTTACACTTATAATTGTTTCTCCTAAATATAATAACCTGATACATTACCCTTACTTTATCTCCCTCCAGTTTCCTGATAGACGACAGCCTCTATCTACTGAACACGGAGAAGATGGGTGTCAAAGTGGAGTAGGAGGACCTCGTCACTTCTTCACCCCGGGAACACCCTCGCACCCCTCCAATCAGAGCAGCCGGACACTCGGACACGGAAGTGGCTCTGCCCCACGGACGACATGCATGACATCCATCAGAGTAGACTGTTTACATGTTTTTAATTTCTATTTTAAATAATTTATTTGGGCTTTACTTTCTCTATTGTTGATATGACGATTGCTCCACGACTTTTTTCCTTTTTAACATCAATGCAAAACAGGATAAGCAAAAGAAAGTCTCCCACCACAGCAGACACAGTTTTTGACTTCGTAATGAAATATTTTTGATGCATATCCTGCTTTTCCGACTCTCTGCGTTTCTGAAATTGATCCCCTGAACCCATGACTTTAATGTCCCTCTCGCTGAGCGTTGCACTGTTGGCAGTTTGCTGTGGCTGACAATAGATGGCACCAGATCCCCTGCCAGGCCATCTCTGTGTTTGGTTCAGCATGTGTCAGGGTCCATCTGAGCCAAAAGTGGACTGGCTGACACAGAGACGACGAGCCCCTTGTGAAGTGGGCAGGTGGGGTCTGCCAGCGGATTGTTCTAGAGAGAGAGGAGGGGGGTTTGAAGGCCATTCGAGCTGACTGTGTTTTTTTTCTTCTTTTATCACCATCACACCTTTTATTTTTGTGCCTGCATTGTTTCCACTGCTGCTTTTGTTTCTCATACTCTTCATTATCATTTATATTTCCAGTTTTATCAGCCACCTTAGTCGTTTTAATTCTATATTGCGACCAATTTGTTTGCTTTACCCTGTTTAATGACTTGATTTTGAATTTTGGGTTGGGATATGCCTGATGAACATCAAATGGAAATATTATTTTAATTCACCTGGATTGCCTTTTAGTGTGAGGAGAAGGAGAAAATGATAGAGGTAGGGGAAATAATCTGCGACAGGAAGCTGGGGCCTTTTTATTTCCATCAAGAGTTTGAATACATTCTGGGGTTATGTGGTGTGTGTGTGTGTGAGTGTTTAGATGTAGCCCATTATTTGGATTTGCAATTCTTGCTGTAATATCCCCCAAAATGACACACACACACACACACACTGCCAGCTGCTGTACAGATAACTGCATGTGAAATACTCCCTCATAACATTTGTCAATGAGAACATTTCTTCTTTCTTATCAACTCTTTCATTTCCACTACACACCAAAACTCTTGAATTCATACCCTGTATGTCTTCACCCCTCAGAGTCTCCCTTCCATATGGGCACTTTACGAGTGTGTGAACATTTACGTGCATTTTATTGTCCGAATTTCTGCCCATGCCTTTTGTATTTCTGTGCGAGAACAATGACTGCGTACACGTTGCCTTGACTCAACAGCATGTTGTTTTTGCCATTGTAAACTGAATCACTGTGTGTGTGTGAGAGAGAGCTAGATTGTGCTCGATCCTTTTGTAAAACTACTGATGTAGGAGCATGTGTGTGTGAATGTGTGTGAGACGACGGGTAAATGTAGCTTTGCTGACAGCCTGTGATAGGGGTGGGGGGGAGAAAGAAAGAAAGACAGGGAGAGGTTGTCGTAGGTTTGGGTGGCATAAAGATTCCTGAAATGATGGCAGAGATGCTGGCCTTATGAGATAAGAAGCATTATATGGTACATATATTTTTTCAGACCAAACTATTGATGATAAACCACTGACATTCATAGTATTATGATTGGGGCCAAATGATGACATACTGTACATTGAAAAAGCTATAATAACAAACATTACTAGTTTGACATCTGTTATAATAAGTTGAACATTTCCTGAGAATCATGTAATTGTTCTTTTCTTCACCAATAACCACTGCCCTCTTCTTCCCTCACTCATCTGCTGCCCTCTGCCTGCTGCCCTGCGCACATCACCTCCTGAGTGCACTTTCCTCCACCTCACATCTGATGTTTGACCAAAAAATCTAAAATGGAACAAATAAAAGTGTTCTTTGTTGATGAGCATTAGGGCTTGTTGTGTCTTTTTTCACCTGTTAAAATGAATCTGTTTCACAAATAAAAGATTTGTGGTTTGACACATTTCCAAATGTATATTCAAGTGGGGTATTACACTATAAAGACCTCTTTCTGTCTCAAAACACAATGGACTGATTTTAGAGGTTTAGGGCATGTGTCTTTTTAAAGAAAATGAATACAACTCAAGACATCTGAAGTATAGCAAGGGGCTTTAACAGTTTTTTGTTAGGAGCCACAAGACAAAGGGGCACTTTAGGAATCCACCACTTCAACAGTGTCATTTTTGCACCCTGATATTAAGCTGCCCTGGTGATGTAATTGTCTGTGACCCACTTGTCTTTTGAGACTGCATCTGCCAATTTGCAGACTTCAACAAATTGCAGCATGCACTCATTGACCGGTATCCTTTTTGCAGCCAGTTTCTACGTTTTCTTTTTTTCTTTGACAAAAAAGCCAAATTTCAAGCATTACATTATATTTCTAAACAAGAAATGAAGTTCAAACTGAGCTTCTCATACAGATTAAAGTTATGGTATTCTCAATACATACATACTTCTCTGCTCACAGGCTGTTTCTTGATTCAGCTTACTCTGGACCAGTTTTGATGTATTGTTTTGTTTTGATTGTATTTAAAAAAGTAATCAAAGTTCGCCTGACTTGTATCCAAAACGTTTTTTTGTCTGGTTGAATAAAAACCTATTCACGACGCGAACATGACTGCAAATGAAGGGGCATGTAGTCTGTGATTCCCCCCTCCCCTCTTCAGTCTGAAGGTGCTGCTGACCTTGGACCATTTGTGCCAGTATCATATGCACACATTCTTTGTAGAGGTTAATATTGTCTCTAAAAGCACCAAGACAGATTTGTCTAGGCATGTTACGTCTGCTGATTTGAGTAAAATGTTATATTCGTTGATATGCATTGTCCAAAACAAAGCGTTCTGACACTTGAAGGAGCTACAGTATCTGCAGTCTGTGTTGTCCTCTCACTTGCACACAGTATCTCTCACCTACTTGTTGACCCCCAACAATTATTCATGTTTTTACGAGAGACAATTACAACCAAGTTCTTGCATCTCTTAGCTACAGGTTTTGTCATGTTACAAGGTTGTTTATTGTTATTTTTAAATAAATAATACATTGATCCACAGTTATATCTGCACAGCTGACTTCCTCATCTATTACTATACAGTAGATGAGGTTATACATGTTTCCACAGAGCCTGCTAACTTTTTCCAATACTTGAAAACTCCTCATGAAACTGCCTCAGTGACTTAGGCTATTCTGTGGAAAAGTCAAACATTTACGCAGGATAAGTAATTATTGTGAAAACTTGTGTTGTGCATGCCTAAGAGAGTAGCTTTTAGTTTTGTTTCCTGATAGCTCCGTGCAATATGTCGGACTCTGACCCTGGCTGCTGTGGGTGGAGAGAGTGGATAGATTTGGATGAATAGAGTTTATTCTTCCTCCCTCAACTCCTGATTTGTGACCGTGAAGTGAAGGGCATGAGAACTATGAAGATGCTCCAAGTCAGTATGATGCATCTCCGTTTTTAAAAAGTCAGCTGTGCACACACATACATAGAGGAAGAACATTCAATATAAAAGTATAAAGAGCACAACCTTTCATTGCAATGCAGCTAGGGGGCCTCATATGTGAGGGAGGGGGGGTTTGAGGGATGTGTTTGAATACAGTTTTGATGGATTATTGTAAAACCTATTTGCCCATGGATGCTTTGAAGCATTGTTCCTTAAATTAATGATTAATACAGTCATACATAATAGCTTAATAGATAAGCCATACTTTTGTATGGTTAATTGCATGACACAAGTTTACTGTGGAACAGTGATGTTAATAAGTATTTATTCAAGAACTTTACTTAAGTAAGTACAGTATTTGATGTATTATACTATACCTGAATACTACTTTGATTTGGAAGACATATGTGGGCCTACTACTTCTGGAAGATAGGATTAGCTGATTATTGTGGTTTATTTTGCAGACAAATCTCCAAGTTTGCTAATAAAGAAACGTAATAAAAAAGCGTAAAACCTTTACTGGCTGCAACATTAAAGTGTTGTATAACGCAATACGGCAACATAACTCATACATCATAATTAAGAATATGATATGAATCTGAAACATGCATAATAAGTAACTTTACTTTTGTTACTTCAGGATTCTTCCCATTCTTATTGTCTCGCACTCTTTAGGCCTACTGTTACCTGTAATAGAGTGGGCTATTTTACGCAGAAGTATGAAGTAAAAATATTCTTCCAACACTAAATGTTCAAAGTGTTTTTGCATGAAGTTGGAGCAGCAGTGCCCGGCCTGCAGATAAGTGAGTTTGGATCCCTGACTGTATATTTGAAGTGAGGGCGGGCTGAGTCAACCTGCCACTCCCAGCTCAGGCCTTCACGGGCGCGCGCCTCTGCTCCTGCGCGCGGCTGTCACGCTTTACTACCAACAGGCACGGAATTCCAGGGAGGAAGTCACTGAGATTGGAAAACGAACAACAACTGTAAAAGGTGCCACGAAAAGGAAAAACAAACCCTGGATACGTGAAGAAGTCGGAATACGGCCTTTCCTCGCTGGGAACAGTAGAACCATCTGAAGTTTGGAGTATGGACTAGAGGCGCCGCCGCGCCGGGTCGCAGCAGATGGAGGTGGCGAGAAGTTTGGTGTTCGTCGGGGCCGTGCTGCTTGCAGCGACGGGAGCTCTGGGTAGAGAAGGTGGGTGACTTCCAGAGCTTTTCTAGCCTTAAATAGCTCCACTGTAAGCATTAAAGACACTCTTTCTAAAGGGAGTATAACAGTGGAGTATGTTGGTTATACTCATTGGTGTGAATTAACTGTATAGTCCAATTTTGAGATACTTACTTTACTTGAGTCATTTTTTGCTGCTATGTACTCCACTACAATTCAGAGGTAAATCATGTACTTTTACTCCAGCACTACATTTATTCAATACCTTTAGTAACTAATGTGAAATATAATCAACACTTAAATAAGACGTTATTTACACCTGGAAAACCCAAGCTACCCTGCAGCATACAAAGTCCTTTAAAGTAGCTGCACCTTTACCAGCTTTGATAACACTTGAATCAATATCTATAATTAAAACATTTAATATATTACTCTGAAATTGGGCAATTTGCACAATGACTACTTTTACTTTAGGTAGGCTACTTTTAAGTTTATCTTGATGCTAATACTGTTTCACTTGAGTAACATTTTGAATGCAGGACTTTTACTTGTAACAGAGTATTCCTACACTGGTACTTCTACTGTTACTTAAATGTATGAATACTTCTACCACACTCTTTATAAATGTAATATAGAAAGTGGAGTATGTTGGTTGTACTTGAGTAAATGTTGGAGGTTCAGCTCGATCCACACAGGGTGATATTTCTAGCTGGGACGACATTCCTGCGCGAGCCCTCGTCCTCGAGGCTCATGGGACTTATGTAGCGCTGATTAGGAGAAAAACCCACCTGTCACAAAGCAGCCAGACTTACTGTTTGGACTTCAACTCCCATGTTGCAAATAGCAGTAGCAGAGGTGGGAGAAGTACTCAGATATTGTACTTAAGTAACAGTATAACTAGTGTATGAATACTCTGTTACAAGTAAAAGTTCAAAAATTAAGTTACTCCAAAAGAAAGTCCTCATTTTGCAAATTGGCCCATTTCAGAAATATATATTACATGTTTTGATTATAAATATTGATGCATTAAAGTGTTCTCAAAGCTGGTAAAGGTGCAGCTAATTTAAATGACGTTGTATACTGCAGGGTAGCTTGTGAATTGACTCCAGGTGTAACTAAAGTCTTATTAACGTGATGATTATGAAATTATTACTTTGAAGTACAAAGCAGTAACAAATTGAAATACTCAGATAAAGTACAAACACCTAAAAATGGTACTGAAGTACAGTACTGGAGTAAATCTACTTAGTTACTTTACACCACTGCAGCTGTCACAAAGTAGCCCTGCAGCCAGATGCACTGTTTGAACTCAAACATCCATGTTGCAAAAGTTTGTTGCACAAATAAATAGTGTAGTAGTAAAAGCAGTAAAACTGAAATATGAGAACCTGCTCTGCAGCTGGGGACTGTGCGTGCAGGCGAACGTTATGCTGTTTTGCTCAGCGCGTAAACAAACAACAACAATAACAGACAGGGCATTGTGTGCCAAGGATCATGACGATGTCAATTATTCACTTCTGGCTCTAAAGAGGACATTGTCTGATAGAGCGCCACTTGTCACACTCTGAGCCTGAGTGCATGCCAGTAACACAAGAGCTAACTGAAAGTGCATATACAAGATGTTCCTACACTTATTTACAGATTTTATTGGATGTATAAATGTTACAATGGTTAACAAAAGAGCTTTTATGAAAGTATTTGCATTACGGTTTTTTTTTCTGATTTACAATATCTTTGCAGTTAGTCATTTTAACATCAGATTATCATTAAGAGCTTCAAAACAGGGTCCAGTAAGTGAGTAGTCCATGTACAGAAACATTTTTGGTAATGGTTTAAGCGTTACAACTCATTTTTAAGCCAAAATGCCAAACATTTCATGATTTCAGCCTCAGGAATGTAATGCTTTGCTACGTTTCCTTCTCTTACAATGCAGTAAGCTTTATATGTTAAGTTTTATTGACAAAAAACTCAACCATTCAAATAATGTTTATTTACAGCACTAGTGGTTGCACAGTCCTCCATATTGATAGGCATTTATTTTAAGTGGAGACACACAATACGCTGGGTCAGATGATTTTAAAAGCATTTAATACATCATAAGCTATTGGCAAACATATTGACATCAATAACGCTGAAAATCTTTTCTGTGGTCTTTATTGACATACTGGTCAGCTTTTATCAACATGCCCTGTGAGGAAATAGGCCAGTGCATGATAAAAGAAAAACGCACCAGGTTTTAGTTTTGGTCCTCAATCTGAGTACAAATAGTATTGTAGTGGCGCTTCATTGTCTTTCATTTGCTGCTACCCCCACCACAACTTAACACTCAAACAAAGCCAATAGTCTCATCTGAAGTGATTTCCAAATACAACTGCATTGTTTGTGCGAACAGGTTGGTGCAATCGTGTCGATTTCTGAAGCATCAGTTCAGCGTCCTGTGATCGCTCTGTAACGGCCACAACGCTTCACGCACTAGTCTTACTTTCAGTCATCAAGTATTGTTTTCACACACACACACACACACACACACACACACACACACACACACACACACACACACACACACACACACACACACACACACACACACCGAGCACACACACACACACCCCGTGTCCAACTAGTATACCATTTCAAAGGTCAGGACTCGTGTTTGGTGTTTTTTCTTCCAGTCGTTTGAATTAATTATTTTAGCCTTTCACAGCCTGTTCATGAGGGAGAACATTGTGTTTGTGTCTGTGTGTTTTGTGTGTGTTCACTGGCCCCAGTATCCATCCACAGAGTTCATGTCCTCGTCACACTCCAGTGCCCCAACAGAGTGAAACTCAGTGAAGTGATTAAGTCCTTCTGGCCCTCAGTAGCAGGTCAGACCAGCCGGCTGTGACCCTCAGTCTCTGTGTCAGTGATCTAACTCACTCCGCTGGGCAGTGGACCAGAGCGGAGACTTTCAACTCCTTTTTCTATGTTTTTCAAGGGTTTTTGAGTTATAAACAGGGCTATTTTCTCAATCTGTATCATATGGTCTATATAAAGTCAAAATAATTGTTAAAGCTATCCATTCAAGTTTCTTAAAATCCATAGGGTTGTCTTTAAATGTCTTCCGTTGTCAGTCCAAATCCATAAAGATAATACATCATATAAAAGCAGGAAATGTCCATTTTTAAGAGGCTGAAAGCATTTTCTGATAATAATGATGATTCATATATATTATTTATAATAATACTCCAATACTTAATACAACTAATCTTGTGTTCAAATGGTCCATTGAAGGGGTATGTTGGTACAAAGCCATTACAAATAGGGCCTTGTTTTTGGTGTCTAAAAAACTAAACATTTCTCATGACATAAAATATGGTTTTCTAAAATTACCCTCCAAAAAAATCATACAGTCAAATCTTTGCTTAGAGACTGCAGTAAGACTGCAATTTGAAAATGACAGAATAAAGTTTTACTTGCCAATGTGGTGCATAGATATACATCTGATTATTCAGGCATAACGGTGTTATGCCGTGTTATGCCCACTGAGATATGCATGCACCTCAAGACATTTCAATGATCTGTACGACAAAGTACGGTTTGGAAACTATATCATTTCCTTTTGGAGGGCATGCATAACACGGCAAAAACCAGAGCCTCGCTGCGGGGAAACTTTGGCGCTGTTCCGAATTTGTTCTAATCTGTCAAAATGACAGACTGCTTTCAGATTTTTCCGTCATTGTTAAAAAAGATATTCGGTTAACGTCCCAGCATCATCAGTACCAAGCGAGAAAGTCTTTTCCACAGCAGGGGTATGGTAAACGCCCAAACATCCCAGTGTCTACCTGGAAATGTGGACATGATCATATTCCTAAAAACCTGTCTGATGATGCTGAGTGAGTGAGTTAGTGAGTTTTAGTTGAGTTACTTGAAAAACTAAAGTGAAACTTGATTTATTTTATTGCAGGGTCCAGGGGTGGTTCTAGGGGGGGCAGGGGGGGCCAGTGCCCCCCTAACACTGACCTCTGACCCCCCTGTGGCCCCCCTAACAATGAAAAGTTTTTATTTATTTTTTAAATGTATATTTTCTGGTACTCGGTTTGCCAAAAAACGCAGGATTTTGTTGCTGTAATGTGAGATTGTGCAGACACCCTTATGTAGATGTAACTGTTCATTGCCTTTATTTTTATATAAATATGGTGTTAGTGCAAACATTGCACTATAACTTAAGCTGAAGCTAACAGTAATAACTATAAGATCTATCTGAAATAAATAAGTGTACTGAAACAAATACCAATAACTGTATTGCATTGTTTTCTTATGCGCAATTACTTCATACTGTCTAGTTCTCTTTTTCGTCCTGCATTTATTGTGCCCCCCTCAGAAAATAACTGGCCCCCCAGTGGCCCCCCCAGTCAAATTGGTCTAGAACCGCCACTGGCAGGGTCTGATTATTAAATGTCCTTGTTTGTTTGTGAGATGCAGTGACACAAAGAACATGCCTACTTTGTTTGGTAGTACTAGTAGGTAAAGAAACACTGGTTGTTTTTGTTCCAGTCTGTTACTGTCACTTTGTTTTTGACACTTTAAAATACTACTATCCTACAAAAATGCTGTACAAATCAGATTTATTATTATTTACAAGTAAAACCATTTTTCTTTCTCGTAAATACCGTACCGTGGACTTGTTATCGCGATATTATCGTACCGTGAGTTTTTGGTATCGTTACATCCCTAGTGATTAGCATCAGAAGATGTTTTCTTCCCTTTGAAATGCACTGAATTTAAATGCAGATGCTTTAAAGCTGTAGTAAAGGTGTAAAACAGTGCGGGACACATTGTGATGCAATAGTGTTTGTGGTTGAGTCTACGCGTGACAGGCTGATTGAGAGAGCAGTTCAATGGGGCTCCGATACAGTGCGGATCCTGTTCTGCTTGTCTGTTGAGCAATACCTGTTTTCTCTTCCTCGGCCTTAGAGTGAAGAAAATAATGTGTTCAGGGAGGAGAAATGTGAAGTTTATGCAAGAAGCGCTAGGAATAGCATTGTGTTAATCTGCAGGATAACAAAGTGACGGAGAAAGTCCTGGTGGATCAGCCTGTTCGGGTTGTGTTGATATTTGGAGGGATCTGATCCATCAGAGAGGAGGCTAGAGCCTGTTGACTCTTCTGTTGTGTCACACTGCTGCTCTTCCATGGTGCAGTCTCAGTCCTGCAGAAGCATCGCTGCTGCCGTGTTTCTGTTACCAGCGTACACACACTGGTAAACACACACACGCACACTCCCTGTGCTAACTGGCACTACGCCACTAACAGGTGTGGCTTCAAGCTGGCTTTCAGTCTGCAGACAGTCCCCTGTGTTTCAGGACACAGATTAAAGTCGCTGTCTCATCTCTTGAAGAAAGCTCAAGTCACAGTTACTTCTTAGAAGATACCAAAATAAGCAATGTCTGCAATAATGTAGAAAAAAAACATCTAAACAGTGAATCTCTCCTTGAAGGTATTGCAAAATAACCACAATATTAGTTACCCCAATATATAAACATAAAGCGTCTCCCGAGCTCTTTATGACGACAAACCTCTGTGTCGTTCCCGTCCTCAAGTGTAGTTTGGAAAAACAAAAAAACACATGTTCTGCTCAACAATGCTGGACAGCATATAATACAAATAATTGTCTTTGTTTGAAGTTCTTGTAATGCATAAAACCTGCTTCTGCATGAATGCTGTATTGTTGTAATTGAAGACTAATTGGAAATGATTTTTAAAAAATGTAAATTGTTAGAAGCTTGAGAAGCTTTACTGAACACAGACATTCACAACTGTAATCAATTAAATGATTAAAATGTAAAAGAAAAAAGGCATCAAAGTAGAAATTCTCTCTCGTTCTTTGTCTTGTTAACCACAGAAACACCTGACCAGAGGACGTTTCCAGAGCCAGGTGTCCGCGGTACGCTGAGCAGAAGCCAGCTCTAACTCATTTAACTTTGAATGTCAGTGGCAGTCACTAGTTGTGTGTGTGTGTGTGAGCCGGACACAGAGATCTGAACTGAACTACAACATGCTCCCCCCAACTCACTGGGGGAATACAACTATGTGTGTCATCTTTTAGATATGCTAAGACACATTCCTGTGAAATGACACTTTCCAGAGTCCAAAGAGAGTTGGGCAACGACACGTACACTCTGTGAAACCGAGAGAAAGAAATGAATGGGGGAAGAGAGGGGGGAAGTTTTAAGATGAATGGCTTTTAAAGAAGGTAATACAAATAAGTTGCGAGTGATTTTGAAAGAGTAAGGCAGTGATAGTGTCATGACAGTGAGCAGCACAGTTAGTGATAAAAGAGGGATAATTTTAGGCCACAGGGATGAAGGGGTGGGCAGCTCCTCACAAGGCCACTAATGCACACAAACACACACGCACACACACACACATAGCCGTTGCTGAGAGACTTTTGGAGAGCAAACAATGAGGAGAATAAACGGAGAGGAAGCTGAGAACTGGCTTTACACACTTTTTAGAAATGGAAAATCTGCCCCGTTGTACTTTACGGTACATTTACCTAATCCCCAGTGCTGTGTGTGTGTGTGTGTGTGTGTGTGTGTGTGTGTGTGTGTGTGTGTGTGTGTGTGTGTGTGTGTGTGTGTGTGTGTGTGTGTGTGTGTGTGTGTGTGTGTGTGTGTGTGTGTGTGTGTGTGTGTGTGTGTGTGTGTGTGTGTGTGTGTGTGTGTGTGTGTGTGTGTGGAGTCAGATTTTGTTTCTGTTTGGATATTCTGTCTTGTTAAAAACGATTTAAACGCTGGAGAATTAAAGCTTGTCTCCCCTCTTGGCGAGACTTGTAAAACTATTTTCCATGATGACACCACTGGAGGAGACAGTGATTAGTCATCATTTGATTTGATATTTGACACAAGCTGCAACCGCTGGGTATGTATTTTAGGCCACCGGTTGCTCAATTAATCTTAGACCCTTTTGCCGCAGTAGTTGTCAGATTTTAATGGGGACCCTATTGACACTTTGTCACCTTTTACTTCTTAAATAAGTGGCAGACGTGATACCAGCATGTCTTGAGCACATATCTTCTGAACTCTGTTGAACCCCAGTGTATCATTACAATCAAACTCCTCACACGTGCCTGAACTTCCCGCTCCTCCGGTGATGTCCATCCATCCAGGGGGGACGGAGATAGCACAGGGGGGGAGGGGGCTTGAATTGAGAAAGTGGGTTGACTATTGAAAGACTGTTGGAGGGGAGCCAGAGGAAGTCATTTATAACCTCAGCAGAGGAGGGTCTGTCCACTGTGTGAATGCCTGCTAAAAGCATGGCAGCTATGTGTGTGTGTGTGTGTGTGTGTGTGTGTGTGTGTGTGTGTGTGTGTGTGTGTGTGTGTGTGTGTGTGTGTGTGTGTGTGTGTGTGTGTGTGTGTGTGAATCTGTGCTCTGTGCTGAAAGTGGAAACTATATCACACACACTAAGAGACAGGACTGAGGCGTGCATGTGGTTTGGCCACGTATAGATACATAGTCAACATATGTGGAGTTCTAACAGTCATTATTCAGAGATTCAACATGGTCCTCTGGCTGTTATTATGAATCTGCATTTAAAGATTTTGTCTATAAATTGCTACTTTCCAAGGTTACACTTGAAGTTTAGAGTCAGCAGGGTCACTTTATATATTATGTATCACAGCAAAGTGAGAGCTGCCAAAATCTATTTTATAGCTGCAAAAAAAACTATTTGTTTTATTCTGATTTGAATTAATGAATATTTTAGTCTAAAATATAATTATATATTAAACAAAAACTTTCACTTTCACTTTTGAGTTACTGAGATGTTTGGTCATTTTCCATTGACAGTGGGATCTCTGTCAAAATTCAAACATATTGAAAGACAACCAATCAGTATTTTGAGATGAACTTTTTTATTTTTACGAAAAATAAAATGACAGAAATCTCCCCTAAGAAAAACAACCATCTACGTACCCAGCAAATTGACTTAAGCTGATATAGTCATTTAATCACCCAACCCCAGTGTATAGAAACATTTACAGTTGATTAGAGTTAGGCGTTTGTTCCTTTGGTGTGTTTAAACATTATTGTATATTGAATATGCTGTCCAAATCATTTTTAATAACAACAGCATGAATATAGGTTTTCACAGTGTTTTAGGTGCAGGATGTTTATTTTATTCATTATTTTGTGTTAAATGTGTTGTCTATGCAGTATGCCTGGGTACAGACATGAAGCTGGACCTGCCCTCCAGCCTGGAAAATCACTACGAGACCCTGAAGCTGCTCTACACCGACTGCAAGGTCGTCCACGGTAACCTGGAGATCACTCACCTTCATGGAAACCCGGACCTCTCCTTCCTAGAGGTAAATACGGAGAGTGGGTTTTTGGCTGTATTTGAGTCCAAAATAGGCATATTCGCATGTAGACCTCTCCTTAAGAGTGTGGGGGTTTCTGTCTGTAATAATGACGGCATTAAATGACACAAATAGACCCATTAGTTATAAAAAAAGCAAGACATAGTTTGTTGATTATTATGTCTTGATCCAATAGTTTGTCATTTTTTCGTCAAATTATTTTCTGTATAGTCTGTTATCTATCACATTGTGAATGGTTTACAATATTTATGTTGGGCTGAAATAAGCCCAATGGGTTTTTTCTGCATCTTCTTGCACGTTATATTATTTTTGTTTATTATTAATTGTGCAAGTAGACTTAAGGAAAGTATTAAACTGCATTGCTGAGTTAGCTATGATTTTTCCAAATTTTTTGTTTCCACATGACACTCATCCTAGTGTTTCTTCTTCTCTCTGCAGGGGATCGTGGAGGTTCAGGGTTATGTACTTATAGCCCATTTGTCAGTGAGTGTGTTGCCTTTGGACAACCTTCGCATCATCCGAGGCAGCCAGCTGTACAACTCCAACTACACTCTGGCTGTGCTCGATAACACTGTGGGCGGATTGGGGCTCAGGACGCTGCGGCTACGTAGCCTCACAGGTCAGATCATAAGAAAGTAGAGATCAGTGTGTATTCAAGTTTCCTGGACTTGTTTATTTTATCAATATCTTCAGCTTTAATGGGATAAGACATGTTTGGGCTTCTGTTCATTGTTTGATTTGTAGCGCAGAGGAGTTTTGTGCCTTCTTTTCATGAAGCATCTGTCTTCTACTCTAACAGTGTGTTAATGAGTGTATTGTCTGTCCTGCAGAGATCCTGTTGGGAGCTGTGTATATTTGGGGGAACCCCCAGCTGTGCTACCCTGACCCCGAAAACATTGTTTGGAGGGACATGTTAGATAAGCCAAACACATACGCCGATCGGCACCGACTGCAGGGACGGGCCCCCAATTGTGAGCAGCTGACCGACTGATTGAAATATGTTAAACATCAGTGTTAGTGTTGTCATTGTCTGTATGAAGTATGCACAAACCAGTCTCTCTGTTAATCACACACACACACACACACACACACACACACACACACACACACACACACACACACACACACACACACACACACACAACACACACACACACACACACACACACACACACACACACACACACACACACACAGACCTAGCTGTGCTTGACAAAACACACCCAGGCAAACAACAGTATGTAAATATCTGCATACACAAAACGCCTTACGTATTTATTTGTATGCAGTATATGCAACTTATTTATATTAATATTGTATTGTAGATTGTATTTTTTGCATTTCTTTAGTTTTTATTGTTAGTTGTATTGCTTTTATTGCTACAATGTTGATGAGCCAATACCACACAGCTTTACCCCCTTATACGTATTTTGATTCTTTAAAAATAAAATGTTAGCTATTCTATTTTACACTTTTCTATTTGAACATCCGCGTAGCAGTTCTGATTCAGTACACTGGCGACTAGCTGCAGGCCGAGCAGTAGACACTTAGTTTCTCCTGTTTCTATTTTGTTAAATTGTTAAATTGTGCTCGCTCTGATTTGTTGTTGTTGTGCTCCTTATGGCTCAGGTCCCAGTTGTGCCTCTGTTTGTCCGAAAGGCTGCTGGGGAGAAACGGCACAGGACTGCCAGACCTGTGAGTAATAAAATCATGTGCAGAGCATGGCAGTGACATTAAATAATCGTTACTGGAAAAAGTCCCGAGCAGGTGCAGAAAATTGATTTTGTCGTCTCCGTTTAAAGTGACACAGATAAACTGTGCGTTTGGCTGTCAGCGCTGTAAAGGTCCCAAGCCCCATGACTGCTGTCACACACAGTGTGCGGCCGGGTGCACAGGGCCCAAAGACTCAGACTGTCTGGTGAGTAAACACACACACTTTCCGTCAAAACACATGTATTTATCAGATCATTGTTGTGGTTACTGCAATTTCTGTCATCATCATTTCCTCGTTCCTCTTCGCTCCAGGCTTGCCGTCACTTCAACGACAGCGGTGTGTGTAAGGAGAACTGTCCTCCGCCCACCATCTACGACCCTGTCACCTTCCAGACCAAACCCAACCCAAACAAGAAGTTTAACTTTGGAGCAACATGTGTGAAGACGTGCCCCTGTGAGAAATGATTTTAAATGAACTGTGTTTATCCAGAGAAGCTTCCACTCAGTGCTCAGCTTTAGCCACTGTGCAGTTTGACTTGTTTACCTGATGATCATGCTTCTTGTTTTGAGGAGAAAATAGAATTTATTCAGGTTCCTTGACAAGATTTTCACAAATACAGAAATACAAACCTAGCATTCTAACAATTCTATTCCTAATACTTTGACGCTAAAGGCTACAATTTTCTCACTTCATAATGATTTTCTTTTTGCTACAAAGACGCCCTTTGATCACTTTGTCTTATTGTCTGCAGATAACTACCTGGCTATGGAAGTAGCTTGCACTTTGGTTTGTCCCAAAACCAACCAGGAAGTTATCGTCGCCAACCCTGAGGGAAACGAGCAGCAGAAATGTGAAAAGTGTGAAGGAGACTGTCCCAAAGGTGAGAGTCATTTAGTGCTTGTAGGTAGATTTGCACATGAGTAAATCTGAATCCTTTAACACCTCCATTGATTTGGTAAAGCACGAGATTTGCAGCATTAATGTGCTGTGCAAAAATCTGCAGAAACTGTGATGCTAAAGGTTTACCTGATAAAGCAACCACTGTGTGTAAAAAGTAGCTTTCCATGTTTCCAACACAGGAAAAACTACCTCTCACTTTGGCTCAGATGTTACATAACGTTCATGTGTAATGTTGTTGAGTAACTTGCATTCTCCTTGTGCATGTCATGGTGCTTCAGTGCAGGTTATTGTGATTTGCAGGGATGTTCTGCTGCATCACATGCAGACTGTAGTTGAAAGTGAACCGACCTGTTTCTGCAGCAACTTGTTGTTGTTACCGCGATTTGTCTCGTGGTTCGGAACATTCCGAACTTTATTATAAAGCTCTGTTGTGATTGTTAACTAATACAAGACAGAATGATATGATGATCTCCGTGCTACGGGTGCTCCGTGCATACAGGCAGTGACATGTAATATCCAAGGATTAGAGACGGTTGGATGCTGCTGGTTTGAGCATTGCAATATATTTATTTTCATTATGTTATTTATTTATGATTATTTTTAGGCTCAGCAAAGATTTGTTGTCAGTTTGTATAGGTGTTGCTATCTGCTTTTTTTTTAGCGTGCTTCTACAATCAGAGTTACAAGGGTCTGTAAATGCAATGAAAACAATTGGCCACAGCAAATCATTTATATTAAACATGTAATTTTTACTTTTGAATACTTCAGTACAAAGGATGTATTGAATCATTTAAGTGATATATGTGTACACATAAATCATTAGTTAAAAAAGGGCTACATTTGATTGAATTATAAAAGGTATATTTCGCAGATAAACCTATTAACCCCGCCCCCTTGAAAAAAACGCCTCTTTTGAACGGCGCTCGCAAAGGAACGGAGCCATAAGATCCGGCTCCCTTCAAAGAGCCATAATCCCCATCACTAATACCCAATAAAAACGCGAGTGTTACGAAGTGATATCACTATGTTATGGAAGTGAACAAAGGAGTCTAATTCGAGGTGTCTCAGGCAGGAGAGGGGGGGAGTGTGTGGGAGAGAAACTCGCTCTGGAGGTCATTTAGCCTTTGCAGACCATTTACATGCATACAAACCTATATAACACACTACAGTACAGAGAAAACCACAAAAAGGATAATGGGACCCTTTTAATAATCCTGCTTTTTGCTCTCAATTAATCGTTAAAGAAGTTCTGTTGCATACGTTTTGACCTAAGTTGGGACTCTTCGTTGGTAGACATGTTTAACACCAATATCTTTTAATTGCAATCAATCACTTATGAAGCTCTTATTCAGATAAAGCTTGGAGGTTTGTTGATCCTTATTTCCCTGTTATATCGGACATCTTTTGTTTAATTCCTGGATATTAGATAAACTGTTTGATACCCGTTGTCATGGTTTGTATTTCAGTGTGTTATGGTCTGGGTATGGACAACCTCGGTGTCATGGACAACCACGGCGTCACCATGGTAACATCTACTAATGTGGAGCAGTTCAACAAGTGCAAGAAGATATTTGGCAGTCTGGCTTTCCTCCCTCAGAGCTTTGCAAGGTAAGAGACACAGAATAAAATACAAGCCCATGGATTTAGCTCACAAAGATGCAAAATTAGACAATATATAGTAATAAGCTTCAGTAACATCAAATAGCAGACCTTATACTGTTGCAAAGCCTTATCGCTCCTGTTCAGCCCTTTGAGTATTTGAGTTTGTGGAAGGTTCTTTGTGCAAGTCAAGAGGAAAGTCGCCACCCTGGCCAAACCCTTCAAATGAATCTACTCAAATGTACTTCAAACCCAGATATGAATGTGTTTTATTTCTACAGTACTTTATGCCAACAAAGAGGTCTTTTAACATCATGAAGTCTTATTCAAAGTCAATAGAGACTTTCTGTATCAGACAGTCTATACAATGATAATGTATAACGTGAAGCCGACGTGCATAATCTTAATTATTATCATGTGTGTGCCAACAGTTCACAGTAAAAGTGACAGTTGTAAACACATGCCTGAGATTGCAGATCAGTGATGTAATATTTCACAGGACGGTTTCCTTGAAACAATCAAATGTTATATTCCTTTTTGTTGTGCTGTTAAATTGTTATTTAACCTTCATGCGGTCATTGTTCAGGGACTCTGCGAGCAACACATCAGGTCTGTCCCTCGAGCAGCTCAGCGCCTTCAAGTCTCTGGAGGAGATTACAGGTACTGAACAGTGAGGAGATGTTTGTTGCATCCTTTTTTAAGGTTATACCAAGAAAAGGAACATCAGGTTATGCAATATAACAAACGGTGTCATTCATAACGGTTGTGAATGGGTTTTTCCTGCAAATGCATTCAGATTTTCCAAATAACACCACATGCAAGTCTGATATGTATTCAGAGCATACCGTGTCTCCTCTGTTTGAGTGTGTTTTATATATTGTCGGTTTGTGCTTGGCAGGTTATTTGTACGTTGATGCCTGGCCAGAAGAGTGGACTGACCTCCATGTGTTCGAGAACCTGAAGGTGATCAGAGGCAGGATGCTCTACAAGTAAGACTTTTATTATAGGTCTTCTTTTAAATATGTTATCAACAAACAAACTGGAAACAAACATTAGACCAATTGTTATACATAGTTGTCTTCTCTTATAATTGAGCCTTACAATTAAGCTTGATGAAAAAAGGGCAAATTAATAAATAATAATTGAATAACTCAGATAATCTGGCATTAAGCGCCAATGAGACAAATATAGAGATGATAGAAATAATTATTAAATGCAAAAAAAGCAAACTAATAGGGTTCAAAGGGTTCAAACAAGAGTAAAAATGCATATAAGTTAATGTAGAGTATCCACTTCTTTCTGTGTGTTGCATCACCTCATGCTGTGTTTATGCTCTGATTTTGTCTCAGTTCAGGCCGTTTGTTCCCTTTCAGTGTAATAAAGGCTAATTATTAACCTGCACAGCTGCAGCACACACCTGCCAGGATTACTGTAAAGTCTAAGGAACACTATCTAGTGTAGCAGGCTTAATTGAGATCTACTTGTCTGACACAGATTTACAAGAAAGTTTAACAATATGATACGCTGTCTGGGTAATTAAAAACAATATTGCTGTTACTTTTTTGTAACTTAATTGTCTAACTTTGCGTTTTTTCCTTCATTTGTGTATTCTCACACTTTCTCACAAATACAAGAATTTCAGGTTAGAGTTTATCTTAATCGTGCACATAAGCAGACAGGTTCTATACAGCAGGTTCTTGAAATGTTCAACTACACGGAAAATCTAAATGAGGTATGTTGAGACTAGGTTTTTTAGTCATAGTCAATAGTAAGTTATTAAATAATAAAGTGATACAGAATAGTTAGTGACTTTCAGTATAAAGGGACAGACTTAAGAACGTTGACTCCACAGTTGTTTCTAATGTCACTCACAACTTCTCTCTGTTCAGGGGGGTGTTTTCACTCGCCATCCAGAATCTGCACATCCGCTCTGTTGGGTTGCGTTCACTACGCAGCGTCAGCGGAGGTTTGGTTCTGTTGCACAACAACTCCCAGCTGTGCTACACCAGTTCCCTGCCCTGGAGCACGCTGCTGCACCCCACCCAGGGGCCGCACCGCATCGTCAGCCTGAACCAGGACGCCCAGCTCTGTGGTGGGTGAACACACTGATGCAGTGCTAAAGTCCATTCAAAATGTTGACTTGATCCAATTTAGTCTTTTTCTGTGCAAGCACACCTGTACAGAGTAGAGTAAACAAATTCTCAAATAATATTTTGTTGTTTTTTAGTTTTTGTAATTATTGTGTTAAATGGGCAAGTGTCTCCTGAATTGAATCAATATGACATTGTATTGTAGCAGACTCATATTATAAATAATTAAGTTTAAGAACATGATACTGTATCACAACATAACTTATTTATAACCCTAATTTAGGTCACTGTTGGTTGCACTTTGACCACTTACTTTATCGTGTACGTCACTTAAACCAAGTTTATTATCTTTCATCAGATACAAGATTCAATTACATTTATTGTAACAATTGCAAGCAGCTGCAAAACAAACACGATTTTATTTAATTGCATTTTAAGCACGTATGTCGTTGCAGTGAACTGAGGGGAGGGGCCATCAGAAAGTACGGTGTGCATCATGCTCTGTTTTCTCTTTGTGTGTCTTTAGAGGAAGAGGAGCGTGTGTGTCACCAGCTGTGCAAGGGGGGCTGCTGGGGCCCGGGGCCGAACCAGTGTGTGTCCTGCACGGCTTTCAAACGCGGCACTGAGTGCGTGGATCAGTGTGACATCTACCAGGGGTAAGAGAGTCTGTGTGTGCGTGGGTGTGGCTGCACAAAATCAATAAAAGCCAAGTGATAATGTTCCTTTTAATACAGAGGACTGTGTGTCATAATACACAAACAAGTTGTCCAGGAAAGAAAAGCGACTAATAATGTTTTCACTGAAAGGGAAGATGTGAACAGGTGGATTTATGTGGGGTTAAGTGGAATGGCAGCCAGTGCCAAATAACAAAGTAGTCTCATTCAAATCAATTGGAAAGCTTTTAACTTAAATTGTGCCCTTAAGCGACAATAGATCAATGACAAAGCAAATATGTTTGATAACACCGGGAGACTCAGTTTCTTTGAACAATAACAGAGCAGATTCATTGATATGATGTACATTAGTAAATGTATTGCACATTTAGATAATACCTTTTAAGGTTATTCAGTTGCCCTGCAGTTGATGATGATGCGTGCATGCTTAACTTGTGTCTGTTGCCCATGTCATTTTGGTCTAATATTTGGGCTGATCAATATTGTTAACATCAATATCATATTATTTATATTTATTTTTATCATGATGTGGCAAATGTTGAAACCAACCGTTTGTTACATTTGTCCAAAAAACTAAGTGTAATGATGAGGCTTTGAGGGTTTATGTGCCAAACTATTTCTAACTAGTGTTGGCCGTAGCTTCATATTTACTGCACTGATGAGGAGAGAATGGCTCCATTAACTCCCAGCAAGAAAGAGATTAAGTGTCAAAATATATATCATATGATCACAATACTATTCCACTCAAAGTTGTTTACAATAATAAACATTGCTGTCCAGCCCTCTGTGGTGCAGAGGACACGTTATCCTGTGTAGGTCATCTGGTCCGCTGGGCCCCCGTTTCTAAAAATGTCTGTCCTTATGATGGTGTCAGGTGCTTTAGATAAAAGATCCTAACAGATGCCAGGTCGTGTTATTGGACGTTATGTTAAATCCCTGTGTGCTTGTGTTGCAGGTCCATCCGCGAATACGCCGCTGAGTCTCTGTGTGTCGCTTGTCACTCAGAGTGTCAACCTCTCAATGGCTCCGCCTCCTGCCGTGGCTCGGTAAGATGTTCATGCAGCCTATAGTCGTTATTTATTAAAATAAAATCTGCAAAAAGCACCGTATACTCAACCATAATAATGACTGACGATAAAGTAAATCAAACTTTTTGTGCTTATAATAGTTGTTGATTCTGGAAAAGACCTTCACACTGTTCAGCTGCTCTTTAAATGTATCCAGACGTTTTTAATCCTTGCAAGAACATTATGTCTTAGGAACATTTAAAAACCTTCACGCAACAACAACAACACAACAACACCACACAGCTGGACATTCCTGGCTCAGATAATGAAAAACAACAAAATAAGTTACCATAGCTATGCGGATGACACACACATTTACATAACAATTTCACCAGGAGACTATGCTCCAATTCAAACACTGAGTAAGTGCATTGAACAAATCAATGACTGGATGTGTCAGAACTTTCTCCAATTAAACAAAGATAAAACTGAGGTAATGGTTTTTGGAGCGAAGGCAGAACGTATACAAGTTAGCGCTGAGCTTCAGTCTGCAATGTTCAAAACAACAGATAAAGCCAGAAATCTAGGTGTAGTCATGGACTCTGACCTGAGTTTCAACAGTCACATTAAAACAGTTACTAAATCAGCCTACTATCACCTAAAGAACATATCTAGGATTAAAAGATTAATGTCACAGCAGGATTTGGAAAAACGTGTCCATGCTTTTATCTTCAGTAGACTCGACTACTGCAATGGTGTCTTCACAGGTCTCACTAAAAAATCTATTAGGAAGCTGCAGCTGATTCAGAACGCCGCTGCTCGAGTCCTCACTAACACTAAGAAAGTGGATCACATCACTCCTGTTCTGAAGTCTTTACACTGGCTTCCTGTGTGTCAAAGAATAGATTTCAAAATACTGCTGCTGGTTTATAAAGCACTGAATGGTTTAGGCCCAAAATACATTTCTGACCTCCTGCTAAATTATGAACCATTCAGATCTCTCAGGTCTTCAGGGACTGGTCAGCTTTCTGTCCCCAGAGTCAGAACTAAACATGGAGAAGCAGCGTTCAGTTATTATGCTCCAAATATCTGGAACAAACTCCCAGAAACCTGCAGGTCCGTTGCAACTCTACCTCATTCACACCAACGGTGTTTCAGGGCCGGTTCGGAGCTGGAGCTTGAAAAGCACCGGGTGTTCCTCTTCACACCGCAGCGGAGCAGCCTCTTAGCTCCGGAATCCGGTTCGTTTCAAGCACCAAAAAAAAGTCCGGCAGAGCAAAAACACCGCATACGTCACGCTTACGTCGAGGCGGGGGCAGGGGCGGGATCAACTCCTGAACAACAAGAAAAAGCCGGCGTTGTATCCAGTTTGTACACAACGATGGAGAAACTTAACAAGCAGCAGTGGTCCACTGAATAGACCAGCTACCTACTGGGAATCTGGTCTTCCGAAGAGGTACAGAGGAAGCTGGAGCACAATCGGCCATTGTTGTTGTTGTCGGTGTCAGCTGTGAGGGGTTTCCGCGCGGTTTGGCTTTATGAAGCAGGCACGCAAACGGTTACGTCATGATGCAAACGATGACGCAATGACGCAGCACCAGTCGGACTCTGGGCGGTGTGAAAAGAGCCGGAGCTAAACCGAAGAACCGGTTCTGAACCTGAAAAGCTCTAGCACGGAGCTTGAACCGGAGTTGCGTTGGTGTGAATGAGGTATCTCGCTGACTACTTTTAAATCCAGGCTGAAGACTTTTCTTTTTGCCGCTGCTTTTAATTGAACTATTCACATCTTGTATTTTTTCTTTTAATGTTTCTTTTATTATCTTTTCTTTTTCATGACTGATTTTAAATGCCATTTTCTTAATGTATTTCATTTTTTGTAAAGCACTTTGAATTGCCTTGCGTTGAAAGGTGCTATATAAATAAACTTGCCTTGCCTTACATGATCTAAAATAAGCATTAGTTGCAGCTCTTTAAAATACTCTTTTGAATTGGTTCTGCTATCTGTGGAGATTGATTGAATATATACATAGAAGTATGATTTCCAGGCATTTCTTAATACAACACAAAGCAAAAACTTTTACAATACAATGAAAATTAAAAGTCGGTCAGAAATTATATAACCACTATTTCTGGGTTCAATTCCTACTTGGCAGATTTGTTTCACCACACTTCCTGAAATAATCTAAATAAATTAACTCTATTAACCCCTTTCTAGATGTGTGCAAAAGTAGAGACATGATGAAATGTGTCTTCTTTACGTCTTCAGGGTGCAGAGCATTGTTCAGAGTGCAGACATTTCCAGGACGGTGAGTTATGTGTGGATCATTGTCCCAGCGGTGAGAAGGAGGATCAGCAAACTGTGTGGAAGTACAGCAACGCTTCAGGACACTGTCTGTCCTGCAACATCAACTGCACGCTGTCGTGAGTACACACACTTCACAAACACACACACACACGCTGCACACACAATGGGAATTATCTCACACCCAGTACTTCTGTGTTTCAGCTGCACGGTGATGGATGAGAGAGGCTGTCCCGTGGATAAAAGGCCAGGGTGAGCTGCTTCAACTGGTCAGATGTTTAAATGGTTGATTTTCTTTGTGGAGCTGTGTCTCACTGGTTTTCTCTGCACAGACCGGGGACAACCATCGCGGCTGCAGTGGGTGGAGTGGTGCTCTTCTTCATCCTGCTGGCCCTGCTGGTCTTCTACCTGAAGAGACAAAATACGCTCAGGAGGAAAGAGACAATGAGGAGGATCCTGCAAGAACACGAGGTGGGCACCGAGAAACATTTTAAAATACAATTATTGATGCAACAATCAAACCCTTATCATGCTATTTTTAGGCAATAGCATAGGTCTCAGATATATACAAAAATATTAAAAACATGTCTATGAAGTGTTTTGCTCAAAATACCAAACAGATCACCCATTCTAGCCATGCCTCATATCCCTCTATTTCACTTCCTGTTTCAAAAGTGCTGATTTGGGGTATACAGCTTAAAAAAATAAAAGATGCATACAAAATTAAAAAGGAGGGGGCTGAGCTCATGCGGGACCGGGCAGCTACTGTCTAAACTAAATACTGCGGTGATGAAACGCCATATCATGGATTATCAAGGATTATTTCTGAAACAGTATGGAGCTCAAAGGCTTTCTCTCTTGCCGGTTATACCACAAGGTGAGTTCCTTTTTATTTCCTGCTTCTTCACACACATGCTCTGTGCCGTACAGGTTAGCTCTGAGTGTTAACGATGCTAATGTAAACATGCACCGACCATATTACGTCCAAAACAGTCGGGCATTGTTTCGCAACGTTTCTGATAAAGCCAGCCTACATTTCCGAAATTACGTCATATCGGACGCAAATTTGGATCAGCTCCGTTGTAGCCCCGTTTTTAGAGATTTGGGTACGGAGGAAAAGAGAGAGGGTTTTATTTTCTGACGCTGCGTGAGTTCCCCGACACACCGGTGACACATATTTACATATTTACATAAAAGTGCATTTTGCATGATAGGTCCCCTTTAAGTCCTGAAACCGATGGGGTCTGGGTAATGGCTGATATTGAGTACAGATCAGATAACATATTTCAATTCATACGTTTTGTTTCGGAAAACATCAACCTTGACTTCAACATTGCTTTCCTATCTTTTAAAATAACGAAAATCAACAAGTAAATACATCAATATACATTTCAGTCAGACGACTCACGTGTTCCTTTAACATGTTTATTAGAAGCAGCATATAGTTGAGTTTGGCGACTAGGCTCGGGCATCATCACTCCATAGATATACAAAGCACGATGAGTGATGATTAAATAACTAACCCCCGAGCCTACAGGTGGAAGCTGGGGTGCAAGCAGCAGCGACGTAGAGGTTGCTGCAGCAATAGCAGCAGCAAGCAATGCATGGAGAGAGATCTGGCAGGTTAAATAGAGCTGCATATTAAGGAGACTCTGATTGGTTGGTTGTAGAGTGGCAAGGGGGCGTTATGTATGAATGCAGCATAAGTGCTCGAGTTGACTGCCTGAACTAGCTCGCAGGCTTCGCCCCATTTATTGGACTTCAGCAACTTGGTAAAAATATCTACACAATTCACTGGGATTATAATACCTGGATTGTATTCCTTTCCTAATGCAGCAGCAAATTGACTAAACTTATAAAAGAACAAATTACAGTATATTATGTATAAATAGATATATATATATATAAACACTGAATGGAATGACATAGATCAGCCCAATTGTCACCGATACCTGATCCAGGTATCTGAGTCAGTATCGGTCTGCTGCATCAATATGGGTGCATCAAAGTTGCAAACACAGAGGTTTTGCAGAGGTGTTAATACTTGTTTTGTGTTGTTGTAACATGTGGGAGTTTATTAGCGGAAAGTTAAATGGTTAACATAAAAGAGACTCTTAGATTCCCTTTGGGTGATGTAGTGTGTAATGAGGAAATTTGCCATCTGCTTCCTTCATGTGTTCAGCTGGTGGAGCCTTTAACACCCAGCGGCGCGTCGCCAAATCAGGCTCAGATGCGTATTCTGAAAGAGACAGAGTTGAAAAAGCTCAGGGTGCTCGGAGCAGGGGCCTTCGGTACCGTTTACAAGGTATGTGAGCCATCATAGATGCAGAATGATAGCATTTGACTTGAGAAAACGTTAATGTGTTACATCACCGCTGAGTTTTTCTAATTATTTTGTTTTTGTTTTTTTAGGGTGTGTGGGCACCTGAAGGGGAAAATGTGAAAATACCAGTGGCCATCAAGGTGTTACGAGAGAACACCTCGCCTAAGGCCAATAAGGAGATCCTTGACGTGAGTGCAAACCAGATACACACAGTTACACCAAACATAAACACAGTTCTCAGCCCCTCAACATCTGTCCTCTGTCTCCTTCAGGAGGCCTATGTGATGGCAGGAGTGGCGAGCCCCTACGTGTGTCGCCTGCTGGGGATCTGTCTGACCTCCACGGTGCAGCTGGTCACTCAGCTGATGCCGTACGGCTGCCTGCTCGACTACGTCAGGGAGAACAAGGACCGCATCGGATCCCAGTTCCTCCTCAACTGGTGTGTCCAGATCGCCAAGGTATGTAACAGGAAGTACACACACATACTATGGCTTGTAGAATTACATGTGTGTAATGTGTTTTTCTTTTCCTTAGGTAAACAGCACTGTGACTGTCTCATTTATTCCTTCATGGCCTTATTTTTTCTTAAAATGTTTGATGTGGTATCAGTTTGTATATTTGTGGAAACATGGAAATGTGTGTGTGTGTGTGTGTGTGTGTGTGTGTGTGTGTGTGTGTGTGTGTGTGTGTGTGTGTGTGTGTGTGTGTGTGTGTGTGTGTGTGTGTCTGTGTGTGTGTGTGTGTGTGTGTGTGTGTGTGTGTGTGTGTGTGTGTGTGTGTGTGTGTGTGTGTGTGTGTGTGTGTGTGTGTGTGTGTGTGTGTGTGTGTGTGTATGTGTGTGTAGGGGATGAGTTATCTGGAGGAAGTCCGGCTGGTCCACAGAGATTTGGCCGCCCGAAATGTTCTGGTCAAAAACCCGAACCACGTGAAGATCACCGATTTTGGTCTCGCTCGTCTGCTGGACATCGATGAGACTGAATATCACGCTGACGGAGGAAAGGTAAGACGGGGCTGAGAATGTAGGACCCTCTGCACCGGGTCGTTATCAATCATTTATTATTTTTAACTTCTGTTCTTAATTTGTTTCTTTAGGTGCCGATTAAATGGATGGCCCTGGAGTCTATTCTGCACAGGAAGTTCACTCACCAGAGCGACGTCTGGAGCTATGGTCAGTATCACGCGGTGCTTGAATTCACATTAAAGACATAATGGTCAAAGTAACACACTAACACTGAGGTTAGAGCTGGCTGTTTAACTTAGTTTTGTTCATGTCGCATAAGCTCTAAAGTGAAATGTTTTAGTTTTTTTATGTTTAACAGCAGCCTCATTTTTGAAGTGATAGCGTGTGTAGTACTGATTGTAAAACTTAAGAAAGGCAGTAGTATTTATAATAATAGTTTTAAAAAACCAAATAGTAGCATACGCAATTATTGAGTTTCCAGACTGCTGCTAGTTCATATTTTATAAATGAATGTCACCTGATGTTTGCTGATCAATCCCCTCCTAATAAGTGGTTCCTTATTTGGTGTTAAAACTGACACAGATGTACGTATGGCTTAGTTGCATCTGTTGTTAAGTAGTAAAAGTAATCGTACATTTCCTCTTTAGGCGTGACGGTGTGGGAGCTGATGACGTTTGGAGCTAAACCGTACGACATGATCCCAGCCAGAGAAATCCCTGAGGTGTTGGAGGGAGGAGAACGGCTCCCCCAGCCTCTCATCTGCACCATCGACGTCTACATGATCATGGTCAAATGTTAGTAGTTAAACATCTATTGATGATGATCCATATTCAATAGTTGATACTTTGGCCACACAAAGAACTATAACTTTAACACAAACTATAAATATAACAATGTGAGCCGCCCCTCAGTATCTGTGGGCATATTGTTTGTTAGTGATGAAGATGATTGATTGACACCTGTGTTTTCCTGTGTGGACGGCAGGTTGGATGATTGACCCGGACAGCAGACCGAGGTTCACAGATCTGGTGAATGATTTCTCTGCCATGGCCAGAGATCCTTCTCGCTATGTAGTCATCCCGGTATGTGAATGTGTGCTTAATGCTACAAATGTTTTACTTTTGTGACAAGAAGTTATTGTGTGATGTGAATGTTGCATTGTAGCACGGTGTTTGTCTAATGCCTTCGGTTGTTTTTTTCCTTGAATGAGATAAAGTATATTTTGGTCCATAGAGATAAATAAAAGACTAAGCCACTATATGCATGAGACTAGTATTACCTTGGGACCTCTAATAGTTGTAATAAATGTCTGTAATGTTAATCCTGTACAAATCTGGCATATCCGTTATCTGTCAAGTAATAATTCCGCAGCAGATTACCTACCATATTTTACCACATCCACAGGTCATATTAGTCCAGTGAGAATCCTCATCTCTGTGATTTTGAATCATATTTTTTCTTTTTGAAGAACCTTTTTGTTTTCTTTGGAGCTTTTATTAAAGTTGGGTAAAGGTAGGATCCTTTGCTTCACGGCATGGGAACCCATTCACATTATTATATACACATAAAAAGGCCTATTTAATATTTGTACTGTTGTATATTTAATATGTACTACTTTTTAATTAAGACACTGTTATGTAGAACCTGACATCCAGATCTGGGTGATAAATGTCAGATATTTGGAGTTACAGCCTTCGCTCATCCTGTGAAAATCCGCTGCACGAAAACACACATGGGGAAACATTTCTAAATCACATGAGGCCCACTGGTAACACAACTCCCTTCTTACTTCATCCATGTCTTTCTGTCCTGCAGAATGAAGAGCACATGAGCATGAACAGCCCTGTGGACAGCCAGTTCTTCCGGATGCTCATGGAGGAGGAAGGGAACAACATGAGGGAGCTGCTGGATGCTGAGGAGTATCTGGTGCCTCAGCCCAACCACTTCCCCAGGATGCAGGGGGACGGGGCCCAGACCAACGGGCCGTCCAGACACCAGTCGTACAGGGTCAGTGACGGGGGACGATGTTTAAATGTACACATCCATGGAGACTTAGGAAACTTGAGTTCACCTTGTGTGTGTGTTTCCTCTCTCCTCTCCCCAGCAGAGCAGAGATACGGGTTTAGACGTGGAGCCCTCCGTTGCCGGCGGCCCCCGCAGCATGTACTCCTCTGTGAGCACTCTGGGCCGCAGCCAGTACCCCACCTTACCTCTCGGAGCCAGCGCCTCCAACGGGGTCTGGGTCCCTCAGTACCCAGCGCTGGCTCGCAGTCCCTCAGCCGGGGACCAATCTGACAATGTCTTCCTGGACGGACCCCCAGACGACCCCTCGCTGCCCCCGGCAAGCCCCGGGCGCTACTGCAAAGACCCCACCTACTCCAACGGGAGCCAGGGCGACCTGGAGACTGACGGGCCCAACGGCTTCCATCACCCCCAACCCTATCATTACTCACTGCCCCGACGGAACCATGGATATAATCATAATCAAGCCCAGCCAGGTAAGCGGGAGAAACGTGTAATGTGTGATGATGTGTTTTATAAATAAATCCCAACGTGTTTTGACTTGTTTTGCTTCCTGCATCTGTTTAGAGTACGTCAACCATCAGATTCAGGATCTCAGACCGGGGATTCCCGACCGGCCAAGCACGTTGCCCCGTAAAGGCTCCAGAGTGGACCGGCGCCTCCCCAACGGCCTGAACTCCGGGCACAGCGTGGAAAACCCGGGGTATTTGGTCCCCGGGGGCCCCACGTCTCCAGCCTTCGACAACCCGTACTACCTGGACCTCGTGGCCAAAGCTAACGCTGTCGCTGCTGCAGGGGACGGCCTGGAGTCACAGGAGAGAGACGGAGGAGGGCCCAGGCAGCTAAACGGGTTTATGGCCTCAACGGCAGAGAATCCAGAGTATCTGGGACTAGCGGACACGTGGAGTGGACATACCTGAGGAGAGGGAGAAATGTGACGAACTCCAGGGGAACCACAGCTTGTGTTCTACTGAGGGGAAACGAGGAGCGAGAGAAAGGGAAGATGTGTGTGACACAAACGAGCTGGGTGTTTTATATTTGGAACATTAGGTGCCTGTGTGACTGAATCATGCACCTGAATCATAACCGGTCGATGTCGTCCGGTGAGAGTCACCAAATGCCCCAGCTGTGACACACCGTGTAGCATTAATCTGGTGTCTGTGGCATCATTCGTATTCCTGTCTTCCTCTCAGAAATCTGTCCTCTCTATGTGAATGTAAAGTGCCAAAAAAAAGAAGTTCCCTCCACCTCTGTGTATAACGCAGGACTCGATAAGCAGAGGAGTTCACATTTGTCAAAACACAACAAGGTACAAGAGTCTGATTGTCACAGAATCAAACATTTGACACTTTGTTTTGTTTTGTCTTTAATGTCTGTGGTTGTTTCTACTACATGTGAAGCATTTGTCTGTGTTTCCTTCAGCTCCCTGGTGCTATAGGTCATGACTCAGCCCAGCTAAAAAGAGAGAATAGTACACGTTGACAAAGTGAGTTGTATTGAAAGTGGTGTTTAGTATTCTGGTCACTTTGTCTCCGACCTGATGGGGGTCTTCAACACACTCAAAGCCATTTTGTTTTGGCCAGAGAGTGGCCAGCAGCCCATCTGGCCAGTAAGCATGCTCCCTGAAAGAAAGGCATCCTGTATGGAGAAGACAGAGGCATTGTGCAACACTGGTGTGTGTGTGTGTGTGTGTGTGTGTGTGTGTGTGTGTGTGTGTGTGTGTGTGTGTGTGTGTGTGTGTGTGTGTGTGTGTGTGTGTGTGTGTGTGTGTGTGTGTGTGTGTGTGTGTGTGTGTGTGTGTGTGTGTGTGTGTGTGTGTGTGTGTGTGTGTGTGTGTGTGTGTGTGTGTGTGTGTGTGTGTGTGTGTGTGTGTGTGTGTGTGTGTGTGTGTCTCAGCTGCAGCTACTTTGTGGTACGACCCATGAGATACGAGGTCTGGGAAACTCTCCGAAATTATGTTTTTCGTGTTGAACAACAAAGTGTATTTATGACTAAATTAGAGCCAGCGAATCAGGGATTATTTTTTAACTAATTAGGGAATATTTTGTGCATTTTGAATCCTGCACTACGTGGCAGGATGCTGCGTGTGTCCCCCAGGCTTGTGTTATCACAATGAGCCATTCGATGTTGGTGGCCTTTTACTTTGCAAAAGAAACGCACTACAAGCTATTGATGATTACATTCAACAAGAAGAGAAGAATGTGCATGTATGTATGTAAACATTGGGTTTGCTCCCAGTTATGGAACAAAAAGCAATCCTGCCTTTTTGTGTTGTTTGTGTAAAAGTAAGCAATGCACTCTGCACTGGAGCTGAATCTGAGGAGGCAGAAGCATTGCTGCGCTGGGTCTGGATAATCAATGCATGGCTAGAATTCCACTCGGAGAGAAGACACTAAGCGCCCAGTTAATAATCAACAGCATTTTTTTTATGTTAGCTGGTGTAGGGGCTGGTCAACCCCGCGTCAATGGAGCCATTGTCTCACCCTCATGTCCATGTTGGAAACTCAGTGCTCTCTGACTCGTGCGTCCCGAGCACTTTTGTTGTCACAGCGTGCAAAGAAAGTAAGAGTTTATTTTCTGCAGAAGTTTTGACCTGGTTCAGTGTTTGGGGGCTTTGAAATCCTGAAACAAGTCTTGAAAAATTGACTGGGTTGTTGAAATGCGTACGACCCTCCATCAACACATCGGTTTCTACTCTGAAAGTCTTTTATCTTGATGTTCTCATACGGGTGTTGAAGAGTTTTGTTCCAGAATAAGTGATTTTATATAAGAATTTCTTTAAAAATATAACATATTTTTCTAAAAACGTGATAAGACTTTATTTTAATGATCAACTATCATATAATTACACCATTTAGATTGAATTTGAATATGTTTGAGTGATAGGACTCGTATAACAGTTTATATAAATATATATATACATAGTGTTTTGGAATGAAACCCTTCACATTTACCGTAGCTGTCCGGTGAAGACCTCCTATCTACAAATAAAAAAAGACTTTAGATTGATTAAAACGTTTTTCTCTGAGGTTACAACCCTTAAAATAAATTAAAGGTGCACCCCGGGTCTTCTTATACTACACAGTAACACCAGTGAATCCTTAATATTTGTATAAACAATTGCAATTCTCAACTGAACTGTGTGAAGACATTTGGGCGATAGGGGGTGCTATCGTTCATTTAAAAAAAAAAAAAGACGTCCCGGCTTCCTTAAGAATGTGATATATTTGTTCACGGATATTAATAGACCTTCTGTACAATCACTATTGATGTACTGGTGTTTACACTGTAGTGTCTTCATCGTCTTCATGTATAACATGTTCCTTTTAGATGACATGACCAATGGATCTCACAGCTGAGGATCGACCTGCTGTTCTCCTTAAAACCACGTGTCCTTTTTTTCTGTGTTTTTTTATTAAAAACTGTTCATTTGTACTAAAATCAGGCAGATCTGGAGAGCTGATTCTTGTCATGTTTCTGGTGACTTGGTTTATGGTAACGTTAAATCTTCTCGGGCAAAATGTGGAAAGAGTAAAAGGTTGTTTGTCGCTTTTTTAATTGTGAAGCTTAACCTGAATGAGAATGAGGCCTGTAACTGTTTTGTACGTTTGTTAAACATCGACAAAAGTCTGTTAAAAAGTCTCAAATGTGACCGAAGTAAGAACCTGCATGTTTTTATCCAGAGATAAGCCCAAAAGGAAAGAAGGAACTAATGAGAGTGTGCTGAAGGTTTTATAAAATTAAATACCTGTAATATACATTTTGAAGAAAATGTATCTTTTATACTTTTCATGTGAATATTTTTTTAACCGTTCACAGTGTGTGTGATTGTGACAGGACATGAATAATTATAACAACCATGTTTTTGGGAGATTTTTTTTAAAAAATGTTTCCTTTCTTATTTGGTCAGTGAGTCGCATGATGTAAATGTGTAGTGTACATACATAAAAACAATCACTTTGGTAGCTAATTTGATTGAATACATTGTGACCAGTGGCTCTAATGTGGAGGGAGGCGGGAGTTGTATTCATAAGAAAATAATTTATGAAGAAATGGTCATTTTATTTGTAATTGTTTGCATACATTGTGTGTCTCATTAAACTCATACCGACAACTTACAACTCCAATGTTTTCTAAACCTCTACAGTGTGAACAACTGCATTGTTCTGTATTCAGTTTTATTTTATTTTACTTTATAACACCAGGCCTCTTGTGTAAACTGGATTTCACTGCACTGATGGGAAATAAATAGGCCCATTACAGTAAAGTCAGGATTTCTTTGACAAAAATAAACACCATTATGATTAAGACTGTCATTTAAAACAACAATTCTACCTTTACATTGACACACAATACTGATTAAATGTATTAAGTGTGTGGGTCTAACAAGTTTTGGCGCGTGACACATTAGTTGCACAAATGAAAAACCCTGAATGTTTAAAAAGGACGTTTTCTGCCACCCAGTGCTGGTCAAGGGAATTGCAGCGGTATTGTTCGTCTACTTTCAGATATTTGTATTGAGCCAAAGAAGATTTTCTTTCTATACAAACTATTTTCCTGTTTGCTCTGATAATTGTATCTTTCATTTTATGTGAAAGAATTATATAAATGTACATTCCCCGATCAAAGACCTATGCAAACTCTAAGGAGAAAGACACATTTTTTAAAATTGATAAATGATGTAAAGGAAACTAAAGATTATCTTGGAAACACTTTTAGTCCTTAACCAAGAAGAAAACGTGTCACTATTCATTACCTTTTTGATTTTGGATTGATGTCCATTTCTAAGGTTTTGAAATTATAGAAAATTATACACAGAAGTTGCCTGTTCTCCACTATGGAGGAATTGTGGTTTATCATCAATAATCACAAGAAAAACAATGGCCTTCAGCGGCTTTATTGTACATTCAACTACTGATATATAATCACAATATCAACATTCATTTAAATACACAGACACCCAAGCATTAAAGCAGCACCTGATGAATATCAATGTATTTATATATGTTTTACACAGTATAGTTTCCACTCTTATTTTTGTATGTAAGGCAAAAATAAATCATTAGAGCACACATCATCACACACACACAAAAGGACATAATGAAAAACAACAACATTACATTACAAATATTAATTATAGGGTAAGAAATGTATTTGTACTTTGCTTTGGGTATTTACATTTCATGCTATATCCTACTACACTATATTTTGAATGCAGATATTGCACTTCTTTCTCCACTTCATTTATCTGACAACTTTAGTAACTAGTTACTGATTAAAATGATTATGAAATACAAAATATTAATGATCAAATTAATAAACTATGACAAATATATAGGTTAAGAATATATCCAGCAGCAGTGTGTAAAGTAAATAAACTTAGCTTTACCTGTGATGAACACATTAATGTGTCAATAATTATAATAAGGTAATCTAATATATGATTATAGCATTGCTACTCTGTTACGGTGAGTGAAGCAAGCAGGACCCAAATGCAGATAACGCTGAAAAAAGCCTTTATTTCAAGGATAAAAATAAAAATAACTTGGACAAAACAGAACTCTCACCGGTGAACTCATTCACAAACAAAAGACGAACCAACACTGAACACAGGACGAGACCAGACTAAATACAGGGAGGGGTAATCACAAGACGAGAAACAGCCGGCAGGGGAGGAGAAACACAAGGGCAACAGGTGAACACAATCAGACAATTAGACACACCAGGGAAACTAACGACAGGGGGAAAACACAGGAAGAAGGACCAGACAATACACAAGGAGGAAAATACCCATAACCAGACATACAAAACTACAAACGTGACAAATCATAAGAATCCTGACTTACTCTTACTTCAGTAAGATATGTGAGTACTCCTTTCACCACCTGAGTAACCAAGTTGTGGTAATTTGAACTTTCTATAATATCAGTGCTGACTGAAACTCGACTTCTGAAATTTAAAATGCTCTTCAGCTCAGACAGAGAGGCAGGAAGCAAAGGACATGAATTAGGACTTCTTGCAGCACCCCTCCCTCAAATAATCGAATTTCCCACATGTGCTAATATGTAATATAGGCATGACAGCAGATCCACAACTGGAAGTAATAGAAATTGGATAGCCAATAGTGCATATGAAGGTACCAAGACTCATCACTGGCCTCCCGATTGCAAACAAAAGGAATGGAGGAAAGTAAAACAAGCCGATCATCACCAGGCTGTTGACGAGGGTCCTGATGGCTCTTTTCTTCTGCGGGTGGATGCTTCTTCTTCCATGGTCCGACTTAATTAATGTATGGAAGATGAAAGTATCACAGATACCAATTAGTACCATAGATATTACAAATGGAATGGTGGCAAAAATGCTAAAGTAGAACCTGTAAATAAGAAAGTATACAATCCCATAAAAAACCGTAAAAATCCAAACGATGCCAGCCATCACAACCCTGGGAGTGAGACCCTTCCTCTTGTGGTAGGTGATGGGATGAACCACGGCTAGGTAACAGTCCAGACAGACACAAGCCATTAGCAGGGGTCTCCCACAAGTGGACAACGCAAAGATACAGTTCCAAGTTGCTTCAAGCGGCCAATTTTTCCAGATTAAATGATTCAAAAAGCCCAGAGGGATGAAGGCCAAGAAGACAATATCCATGATGGACAAGTTCAGTATGAAGAAATCATTTGGTGTGAAAGGGGTCCCTCTCTTGTAAGTCTTGAAGATCTCCCAGAGGATGGCAATACATGCAGGAAAACCAAAAACAAAGGACAATATTGTAAAAGCAGCCCAAATATGTCTGCCCACTGCACGGCTTTCACAAACATCAAAATCAAATTGTTCCCAGATAAATCCGGATGCGTCAGAGTTGTTGGAAAGACGCTTGGAAAAAGGATCAATCTGATACAACATCATTGAGCCGAGTTGTTGTGAGGATAGAAGAACTGAAAGAAATGAAAAAATGAATTTAAAAACATGAACAACATGCTGTGGACAACACACATTACAAATAGTAAAAGAAGAGACACAAATGCTGGAAACGTACACACAGAAAACATGCCTTTGTTTGGTTTGTCAGCTTAAGATTGACTGCACAATGGTTCATAAGAAAAGGACTCACTGTACCTTTTTCTGAGCTTGTGTATGGATGTTTTCACTGAGGTGCTGCTGTGTCTTGTTGCCTGGACGAAGTATCAAACATCTGTGAGAGACACTGCAAGTGTGAATGTATATCAGCCGTCAAACTTATGACCTGTTAGTGGCACTCTTGCAAAACATGTACTTATGGAAAAGAGCAGAACCGCAGAGGACCATGTTGAGAGATATATACAAAACAACCTTTTGTTTGTTTGCACTGCACTGTCAGTAGATGTATTCTGACCTGACAGCAAGACAAAGCGAACATGTTTCATGCTAGTGAGAGCATTAATATGTACATCATTTCATGGCAGTCCATCCAGTAATTGTTGTGCCAATCCATTACGTAGACGCCGAGTTAGTGGAGCACCAAGGTCCGTACTGTGGGATTCTCCCTCTGGATATTTAGTTCTTGGTGATCCTTCCAGATGTTGTTAGAATATTTCACGTAATTGTCTACTTGCTGGTGGCTCTTGAGTCAGAGAATCATCAAAGTCAGATAAATATATCCTCTGGGGACCAGGAATGTCATGGTGGCCTAAAAAGAACCACTACAAAACTTTAAATGATAATCACATCTATTATATGTGCCACTAATAATAACTCAAAAGGACTTTTTACAAGTTAACAATACATCTGATCTTGAACAAGACATGTGAAGAAGTGGACATAATAACTGTGAGGACAAAAATAGGTATGGGGACTATGTTTTTTAAAAGTCTCAATCAAGGCATTCAGGCAGTCACTATTGTTTTTTCTTTTCAAACAGCAGTTACACAAGATGGTACATTTGAGGGGTGAAAACATTGTGAGCTCCCAGAACGGAAAACACCGATGTCAATCACACAGCCTAAAGCATGCCCTGCTTTATCGTTATTTCACTCTAAATGAGACCATAGTTTCCAAATCATGACATATTGAAATAGACTTAGAACTATAGTCAGTGGAAAATGTTTACTGAGGTAATAAATAAACTGAGAAGTAGGGTTTTTTCTCATAGACTTCTATAGAACTATGTCTATTTGCAACCAGAGAAGTCACCATTGGCTGGCTATTAGGACAAATGCAAGTTTAAAGTACTTGCTCATTGCTTAATCTTGACACCTGAACTGAATAAATATCAAATGCTGTAATTATTCAATTATTGTTGTTATTATCAAACAATATGCAGAAATCTTTGTCCATCAAAGCAAAATCAAGGAAAAAATCCCACTAAAAACATGTCGTAATGAGATTCTAGCATGACATTTTCCATTATCTAAATATGCAAATGATAAAAGCATTATTGAGTCAGGACTATGGCTTATTTGAGAATTAAGTTGGATTTATCTCAACTTTCTATCATATCCGAGCTAACTAAAAATGACTTCTGAAGGTAAAATATTCTTAAGCTTCTACAGCGACTACTTTTGTAAAGAGAGGCAGAAAGCAAAGGACGCATCATTTAAGACTTCCTGCAGCATCCAAGCCTCACACTGTCCAATTTCCCACAATTTTGTAGGTGGATAATAGGCATGATAGCGGATCCCAAAATGGAAGTAATAGAAATCAGATAACCAATAATGCATACAAATGTAGTATAACTCATCAGATTAAACCCAATTCCTAAAAGAAGCACTGGAGGAAGGTAAGACAGGCTCATCATCACCAGGCTGTTGACGAGGGTCCTGATGGCTCTTTGCTTATGGGGGTGGATGTTTTGTCTGCCAGGGTCTGACTTAATTAATGTATGGAAGATGAAAATATCACAGATAATTATTAGTACCATAGTGGATGGAGCACAATAAATCACGCTGACATGTAACCAGTCGTATATAATGTATAAAACACCAAAAACAACCGTAAAAATCCAAACGATGCCAGCCATCACAACCCTGGGAGTGAGACCCTTCCTCTTGTGGTAGCTGATGGTAACAGGTAACAGTCCAGACAGATACAAGCCATCAGCAGGGTTCTCCCACAACTGGACAAGGCAAAGGTACTGTTCCAGAACAATTCGGCTTGCGGAATCCAGATGAAGTGATTCAAAATTCCGGGAGGGATGAAGGCCAAGAAGATAACATCCATGATGGACAGGTTCAGTATGAAGAAATCATTTAGTGTGAAAGGGGTCCCTCTCTTGTAAGTCTTGAAGATCTCCCAGAGAATGGAAATAGATGCAGGAAAACCAAGAACAAAGGACAATATTGTAAAAAACAAACAAATATATTTGCCCTCTTCATGCTCTTTACACTCTTTAAAATAAAAGTCTGCCAACCCATGTGTGTCAGAGTTGTTGGAATGATGCTTGAAAGAAAGATCGATCTTAAACAACATCATGGGAAAAGTTGGAGATTAAAGACCTGCAAGAAAATGATACTTCTGTTGAGCATTGATATGAAGTCCACACACGCTCAAAAAATACTGCAAGCTAGAAGCTTCCATAGTAAACATAATGTAGCTTCTATTGAGGCTTTAGAGTCTGGAATTTGTACTAACGTGATACTGTGTCTTCTTGCCTTGATCGAACATCCGTGGGAGCTGCTGCATGTGTTTGTAGATTTTAACAAATGATTGAGCTGATGCCAGGCGCAGTTTTGCAAATCATATATTTATGAACATTTCTAAATTGCATCTCAATACCATTGCTTGATAACTATTGTAATGTTTAAGTGAACACATTGAATGAATGATGCCATAGAATCCATTAACCTCTGTTCGTCAAAAGTGATGCAAATAATCATCATGCTCTGCAAACAATGTGTTATGGAAACTCATTTATAAAACCCTTGAGTGATACCTGACATATACTCATGTTGTTTTAGCTGCTAGCAGGTGAGGGGAATAGGGTGTAATTTGAACATCCTGGATATTATAGGCAAAGTAGGTGTCACATTTTGGTTGTTTTAGTACAGATGTGCTGTCATTGCTGATGAATGAATCCTGAAAGTATTGCTTAGGTTAATAAGAGGTCACTGAATTAAATGAAAATGAGCATCTGTAGGCATTGGCAAACTACTAGGAGAATGCATTTCACACACTTCTATTAACAGGATTTAATAGAAGCCTGTGCAGGCCAAGGGAGAACATAATAAACACTAGTGATGTTTCTTTCTGGATTCAAAATAGATGTATGTCCCAAATGGGGAAAACCCCGTGAAACTCAGCATTTCTGGCACAAAGGCAGCCTTTTTTCCCCAGAATTTGGAGCAAAGCTGCTGTGGTGGTGCATTCAGGGTATCTCGGAAACGTTCCCGATGTGAACTTGTGAGGGCATCTAGATGTTGTTGACATTCAAGTTGTGAGCAAATCAGGCATCACATTAGTTATATATTGACTCTCTATAACCCAAACCCCTCAGTAAAATGAATTAAAAAACATACTGTTTTACAAAAATACATGTTGTGCATTTTGTTGTGCTTTATCGTGATATATAGGATTTTCGGGCCATCTCGTGAAAGCAGCACCAGCCGCCTCTGTGACGCTCATCGTCGCATTATTTTTGTCCTCCTGTCGCCGCCATTGCTGCCATATCACGAACATCTTTTAGCAGCTGTGTGCAGATAATTGGATACATTAAAGTGCTTTTTTGTTTATAACGTGAAGCCTTTCACCACCGGGAAACCGTCCTGACTACATGGAGTCAACCGTTGGCGAGCCTACTACAACGTAATACAAATTACACAACCTTAGCAGAGACAATACGTTAGCTCACTACGCTAGCTAAAACAAGCTAGCATATGTGCTTCATGCTCTTGTTTTCCTGCAGGTAATTAGTTCTCCAGTAGAGGTTTATTTGTGTACGCTTTGAAGATGTCACTACACGGTAAACGTAAAGAAATCTACAAGTACGAGGCGCCATGGACGGTGTACGCCATGAACTGGAGCGTCCGACCGGACAAACGGTTCCGCCTGGCGCTCGGTAGCTTCGTGGAGGAGTACAATAACAAGGTAATAATAATACACTTTATTTATATAGCACCTTTAAATAACAAGGTAACTTCACCTGGTACAATAACAAAGTAACTTCATATTGTCCCATGGGGCTTTCTAAAGGCAGACAGGACCAGGGATTTAAACATAATAACAAACTGGATGAGATTTACTCTCATAATATTAATTTGCATTATAATTGTTTACCACCATGCACCCAGCTTATAGTAACGGTTCCAGTGGATAAGCATTATTATTATTATTATTAGATAGATAGGTAGATATTTTTATTGATCCAAAATTGGGAAATGATTTAGTTTGAGCAGCAGTGTGTTCAGTCATAACATTATTCGAAAGGTGGACAAATAAAAAACAACAAATACAAACATATCTACAGTTAAAAAGACATATATCACAAATAATATAGAAACCAAAATATTGCAGCAATAGAAACATATACTTAAACTACAGGAGCAGAAACATATACAAAGGATAGTATATAGATATTATATATAATGTTATGTGTTTATTGAACAAGGACCATGCATACAAATACATTGATCTCAAAAGGAGAAGAGATGCTATATGGCAGCTTATAGCTCATATCCATCTGCAGTCCCAGGTACACACATTACACATTTCCTAGTGCCTATGACTCACACAATTAAAACACAATATATATGTATAAAATATAAATACTAGTACTATTCCTTTAAACTAACTTCTCAAGTTGGCTAGACTAGTTTGCACCATGGGAAAAAGTGTAAACATCTGAGCAGGTTTTAATCTCAGCTGTAATCATATCCCAATGAGGAATACCTAAATATATATTATATTGATATTAAAACGGATCGCGGATACAAGCGGCCGAGATGGGTTTTCTCCGCAGGGTGGCTGGTGTCTCCCTTAGGGATAAGGTGAGAAGTTCGGTCATCAGGGAGGGACTCAGAGTTGAGCCGCTCCTCCTTCGCATCGAAAGGAGCCAGTTGAGGTGGTTCGGGCACCTAGTTAGGATGCCACCTGGGCGCCTCCCTAGGGAGGTGTTCCAGGCACGTCCAGCTGGGAAGAGACCAAGGGGTAGACCTAGGACCAGGTGGAGGGATTATATCTCTTCGCTGGCCTGGGAGCGCCTTGGGATCCCCCAGTCAGAGCTGGTTGATGTCGCCAGGGAAAAGAAAGTTTGGGGCTCTCTGCTGGAACTGCTACCCCCGCGACCCGACCACGGATAAGCGGAAGAAGATGGATGGATGGATATTAAAACGATGCCGGATACAACTTTGTTTTAATGCGATTATTTAGAATAAATAGCATTGATATCCCTGTCCTTTTTATAAAATGATGTTTTGGTGCCTTCATTTGAGAATAGCATCATGAGTGTAAACATGTACCAGTGCAATGGCATTAGTGAGTTGCATACATTTGAAAAAGTTAGTTTCATAAATCATTAGTCGACTAGATTTGTCCTTTAGCTTTCTTAGATCTTGCATTACTGGAATAAGTCAGATCAGTTTTATTATGGAAATGAAGTTATTTGACCCACACTGACCGTATTGCTCCTCTTCCTCAGTAATGCTGCGTGGACCCACTCGAGCTGAGTTATTGTTTTGTTTCCACAGGTTCAGATAGTTGGTCTGGAGGAGGAGAACTCAGAGTTCGTATGTCGAAACACTTTCGACCACCCATACCCCACCACCAAGGTCATGTGGATTCCCGACAGCAAAGGAGCGTACCCTGACCTGCTGGCCACCAGCGGAGACTACCTGAGGATCTGGAGGGTAAGAGGACCAGTCTCACACCTGAGCCCATGGACTCGTTTTGTCATAGAAAGACATTTCAGAGAACAACCAAGTGTGTAGTGTATTTTACACAGTATGCTACGTTTATATCCACAGTAAAGGTTCAGAGTGAATCGTGCATGGCCAGTGTCCAGCTCATTACTTCTGCTCTATATGCCAGAGCAGGAAACTTCAACGATGTATTGCTTGTGGTCTGTATGAACTAACAAAGACAATGTGTTTCTGCTGACAGGTGGGCGATACAGAGACCCGACTGGAGTGCCTGCTCAACAATAACAAGAACTCTGACTTCTGTGCACCACTCACATCCTTTGACTGGAACGAGGTGGACCCAAATCTGTTAGGTAAAAACTCAATGTAGGTTTGATGAAAAATACAAACTGACAGTAGTCATTATTTGAAAATGACATTGTTTTCTGTGCAGGTACTTCTAGTATCGACACTACTTGTACAATCTGGGGGCTGGAGACTGGGCAGGTGCTGGGCCGGGTCAACTTAGTGTCGGGTCATGTGAAGACGCAGCTTATTGCCCATGACAAAGAGGTAAATGTTATAGATAGATCAAACCTTCAAGAATGTTTTGTTAATTAAAATGGTGTTTAAAGATAATCTTAAAGTTTCCTATCTTTATGTCAAAATGTTGTCACTCACTGATCACTGTGTGCTTGCTCTGCAGGTGTATGACATCTCTTTCAGCAGAGCAGGGGGGGGCAGGGACATGTTTGCCTCAGTGGGAGCGGACGGCTCGGTCCGCATGTTTGACCTCCGTCACCTCGAGCACAGCACTATCATCTATGAAGACCCGCAGCACCACCCGCTGCTCCGCCTCTGCTGGAACAAGCAGGACCCCAACTACCTGGTCACCATGGCCATGGACAGCATGGAGGTTAGTCTTTTTATTTGACTCTAATCAACCAGATAAGTAAATGTAGAACCAGTTCATATTTACAAAGTTTCACTAAATTAGCATCAATCTTGACACAGGGTACTTAAGATACGGTTTGGATCCCTAAAGGTGTTTGGCTACTATGCATTCAAGGGTGGTTTTCACTATAAGTAATGGTTTCTTTTAGGCGGAGATTAGAATTGAAATGTGTTTACTATGTTCCATCTGAATGTACTCTGACACAGCAACATCTATATTGTATTCTGACACTTCTACAGCCAACTCACAGATGTGTTCTTGCTTTGATCAAAACAATTATTCATATACCCCTTTTTAGAAGTGAAGATATTCATTCTGGGCAACAGGTTAAGTGCTACAAAGCTGAAGCCTAGAAACTTCTCTTTGACTTTGTTATTGTACATCTGTAGAAAAGCAAGAATTTAGGATGATATAAGATAATATTAAATAATAGTTTTTTCCTCATTTGTTAATAGTTTGCTTGTAAGCACGTACTGCATTAAAAAGCCAAATTCATTTAATAGTTGAGAATCTCAATTTCTTTGGGTAGTTTTTAAACGTTTAACTAATAAATCTACTTAAATAAAGCTACTTTTTTACTACTTTGTCTTCATACTAAGGCTCTCTTTGTTTAACGACCGTACATTTGTTGTTTCTTCTCTCTTTAGGTGGTGATCTTAGATGTGCGTGTGCCCTGTACCCCTGTGGCCAGACTCAACAACCACAGGGCCTGCGTCAATGGCATCGCCTGGGCGCCGCACTCCTCCTGTCACATCTGCACAGCAGGTATGCAGATTTAACACATAGTTTGCAATATTCACCCACACGTTTATTTGCAGTTTGAGGGCTTTGCCAATGAATTATTGCAATTACTGTCAATATGCACGAGGGGGAGCCGCTCTTACGCTATTTATGTTTACGCAACAAAGCTTTGTGTGAGTAAATATACACGTTGGATAAAGGAGTTTGTGGGAGATAGGTGTCCTTGCAATTTAGTGTAGTGTCCACCACTTTGTATTTGAAGTCCATCCCCACTAATAGCAGATCAAAATCTACTTTGAGTTTGTTCAGGGTTAAGGAATCACTGAACAAACCTCTACATTGAGGCAGCTGTTCAGACATTCTTCTAGTAGCAGAATGGATCGACAGGATCTGATTGAACTCATACTGACAGAGAATTCCTTAAAATGGTGCCATATAGCACCTTGTCCAAAACAAGCCTACAGTGAAGCCAAATCAGACCGGCCTGTATTACAAAACACTGCTGTGCTGTTTCTTACTACTGATCTTCTTTTGGTGTCCTGCTGAGAAAGAAAGTCCGATTTTAAAACAAAAGTTATTTACCAGATTCAGGCCAGTAACGTGTATTGTTAGTTCTTCCTGTTTAAATAAGACAAATCAATTACAAATCAAACTTCCTCCCCTGCTCTCTGTCTAGCGGAGGACCACCAGGCTCTAATCTGGGACAAATCCAGCAGATGCCGCGGGCCATCGAGGACCCTATACGGCCTACACCAGCCGAGGGAGAGATCAATAACGTCCAGTGGGGCCACCACCCAGCCCGACTGGATTGCTATCTGCTACAACAACTGCCTGGAAATCCTCCGAGTCTGAGCTCCAAGAAATGAGGCAAATCAAAAACACTCTCAGTTGGATTAACACGCTGTTAAAGAAGGACAGAGCAATATTGAGTTTGTGCTCGCATTGGATTACTGTCGATACAGATTATGTGTGTAAAGCTTTTTCAACCGAGTGAGAACTAGAGTCTCTCTGCGCTTGTCTTTTTGATACAATATCAAGATGTCCTGTATCAGAAAACTCAGGAGCACCAAAACAGAAATGGTAACAAAGTCTCAAGAAACTGTTGTCATGTGCAGACATGAACAAAGGTCCAAAACCTTCTAGCGTCAGCATGTTTTCTCACAGACAATAAGGCTAGTCAGTTTCATGTTTTTATATGTTACACGGGGCATTGTTTGAGTACTCTTACTACCCATTACAACGCCCTCAACCATTCATTTTCATTATGCAGCAAAATGTAGTTTAGCCACATTTAAAAGTGGATTGAATGTGGTTAATGTGTTTTTAAGTGTTCATATATTCAGTAGTTTTTTTTAAAACCTATAAATACTTATTTTATTCAACTGAATATCATTTGTGATATGAAGAACATCTCTGTTATACATACATTATATGTGCAACAATTTACTAGTATTGACCATAACACATGTTTGTTTTTGTGCACCACTTATTTTATTCATATCACAATTTTATTTTATACATGAATAAACCGTCCCTCACAGTTCAAACCATTATACAGATCTTTCTTTTTTTTTAAACAAAAACCTTTTCACAGTGAGCTGTCAATCATCAACATAATGGTGAGAATCTATAGTACAGATTTACAGTTAGAAAAGGTTTCACTGTACATAACTGAAAAACACTGCCTGAAATACATCAACCAACATCTTTACACTAGAGAATCCTACATTTTTGTCCAACAGCCTAGAAAACTGACATTATATAACAAATGCTGTGAGTCCTGTTGTGATATTAAGTTCTGTTGTGATATTTGGGGTTGGGAGGGGATGTGAAGACGTGGGAGTGAACAGGAGTTATTTCTTACTTGTTGTAGGTATTTCAGTACGGGGTCATGATGTGTGATTATTTGCTCAACATAAAGTCAGAAAACACATTCACGATTCATTTTCACTGATCATCGCATTTTGAAATTGTTCTGCAATGTAATATTCTAAATGAATGGATACTTAGCAAAAATGTTGATGAGATATTATTGAAAATGTATATCACCACAGAAAGGATCAGATTTATTTTAAGCAACAGTTTGACATTTCTGGACAAGCTTTTCTATATTTTTCAAGGAGACCCAGATGGGAGGGTTAATACCACTTCCTAGTTCAGCTTATCTCAAAGTCTGAAAACAGGGAAACCGCTTGCCTGCAGGGTGTTATGTGCTGTTCTATTTCTGGAGCACAGTGTCTTTAAATGAAAGCGGTTCGTAGCGAGAGCCCCAAACACTCTTGAGAAAAAAAGGTTGGCAAAGCATGTCTAGGTCTAAAAGCCACTCGCCCAAAATGATCATCATGAACGTAAAAATGAAACATGGCTTATGTTAGTACTCACAGGCATCGAGCTAGAAGTTTGTGGAAGTCTCCAGTAACGTGCCATGAGTACACGGGCATGCAGGTAGGTAGACAAGTAGGTCAACTAATCAAAGGCCTGCACACCCACAGATATGAGATTTGTATACTTTTTATATCTTATTTATGAACTGCTGTCAGAGTGTAAAGAGTACTTTAAAGGTCCCCTATACTGTTTTTCATCAATATAATATAGATCTCAGATATATACAAAACGTGTCTCTGAAGTGGTTGGCTCCAAATACCAAACAATAATTGTAGCATCCCATAATCCCCTCTGTTTCAGCCCTGTTTCAAAAGTGCTGATTCTCTGTCTGTTACTTCAGATGAAAATAAGGAGCCACTCCCCACGCCCCTCTGAGAGATATTTGGTTACAAAGAACTCAATGGTGCTCTAGGAGGAGATTCAGGTGATAAGGAGGGGGGGGTTACCTTGGTTGGTGATTGGCTAATGGTTACACGAGACAAAAAATCGCTATGACATCATAAAGTGGCCAAAATCTGATCAGCTCATTTTCAGACAGGTTTTTATATAAATGGATCAGAACTAATGGAGCGCAAATCTTTTTTTCTGAAACTTTCAGAATCTCTTTACACAGAGGGGACACGTGTTTATGTATAAAAGACATGAAAAAGTGGATTTTGCATAATAGGTGACCTTTAACAAATACACAATCATGTTTTCTTAAATAGCTTTAAGAAGCAGTGTCATTACTTTCAAAGTCACACTGGTTGCCTCAAAATCTCATCTCTGGAGCTCCTCAGGTGACGGGCAGCACAGGGTCTGAGAGGTGTTTCTGGATGCCAGCCAGTCCCGAGGTCATGTCCAGGTTCCCCGGCAGCGAGGGGTATCGGAGGCTGCCGCACAGCCCGGGGCTCTCCAGCAGGGTGGATTTGACCGACGGCTGCTGCGGAGACAAGCCTGGGTTGGTCTCACTTTCAGGGGTGACGGTCATGAACATGGTGTCGTCTGAAGCCACAGTCACATGGATGCCGCTGGACAGGGACTCCTGGGACCTCTTGGTGAATTGAAGGTCAGTCTGGGTAATGCTCTGGAGTAAAGAAATCACCTTTTTTAATTTAGCGTCTTAGCCCTTGTACCTCACCAGGGAGATTTTTGCCTTAATATTTTTCAATTGCTTTGTAAAAAGCTAGTTTTTAACGACCAGCAGACGGAGGACGGTTAGCTCTTGGAAAAAATAAAAGTATCTTTTATGAGAATATTTTCATAAAATCATTTAATTTTGGTCAAAATCAATGAAAAAAGGTGTGACACTAAAGACACGTCTATTATAATTATTCTTAGCATAGTTTTCACTTATTTGGGCAAGTCAGGTTTATTGATGGTCCCTAAGTGGACCCCTGTGGTTAAGAGAATGGACTCGGATGTGAGCTAAAGGTCTAATGAATATGTATTAGTTTTTAATGAAGACGACATCTGGTTAAAAAAATGGTTTGTCCTGTAGGGATATCTCATTTAAAATAAAGAACAACAGTTTAATAAAATACGAGGAACAAATCTCCGTTGTTATTAGTAGTATTAGAAGTAAAGCATAATTCCCTACCTGTGCGGGGGCCCGGCTGTCGATCTGTAGGGCGGGGGAGGGGTACATGCTGTGCAGTACTGATTCATCAGTGGGGAGTGCACCAGACGATACGCTGCTGTAGGCGGGAGGAACAGGAGCCATCTGCCTCTGGAGCAGCTGGAGAATAACATTGATGTCGGCTGTCATGCGAGTCTCCAGTCTGGGCAATTGAGAGACAATCAGAATGGCAGAGGTCAATAAGTGAAGGAACTATCGAATAATCGTATTTGCTTCAACTGGAATGGGGACATGAAATGAGAAACATTAGATTTTTGAGCATTGGAATTTGAACACATTTTCAGATCATTTCTTTATTTGTATATCTAACTGTAGATTGCCTCCTCTATTATTTCCTTGAAAACCAGCCAAAGGCCTCCCTTGAATTCACCTGTTGAGCTGTGAATGGAAAACCTCAAGTCGAGACTCCAGCTCAATGGGCTGATCTTCTGTGAACGGTGGTGGGTGGTATGAGTTTCGGACAGATGAAGATCGCCAAGTGCGACTGGAAAACTGTTGTGGCGGTCGTTCTGGCCAGCCCTGATACATTCCTGGCACATTCAAAGATGTAGCTAAGGCAAATATAAAGACAGGTTTACCCATTTAGGTTGTATTACAGTAATGATAGTCCAAAAATATTCACTATGCAACATCAGCGCATGTTGTTAATTATAGCGTGTGTGTTTAAGTTAAGACACATATCTACCTTGGTCCAACACTGGCTCCCTCTCCAGTGAGGTGCTACTTGGGGGGATCAGCTGCACTGCAGAGGGGGGGAAGTCCACTCTGGCATCTTGTGGAGGGTATAACTCAACTTTGGCACTGTGGGCGAGCGGCGTAGCCAAGTCTTCACTAGACTGGGAACACGGGGATTCGCAGCTACAGTTGTCATCCCACTGGGCCCGAGGAGGGGAGTGGCGATTGTGCAAGGACTGATGGGGGTATGAGTCCTCATGATCGATTCCATCTGTTCACAGGAAGGCATCAACATTTAACACTTTTAAACGTAACGTAATATTATCACATAAGTCTAAGTTATCGGTAGAAGGCAGTTATTTACCAGGGTAGAGAGGAAGTTCGATTTTGAAAGGCTTACAACACTGATTACCAAGAAGAGCCTTGTATCCAAAGAATTGGCAGTTAGTTTGTGAGATAATTGTGTTCTCCTTTACGCGTCTCACCTGGCCTTATTCTGCAGTCCAGGGAGTGGTTTCTATGTCTTAGCTTGTGTCGACACCCGTAATCGTCACCAGAATCATCAGTTGTTATTATTGGTGGAACTTGATCGGCCTGATGAACATAGAAAGAACAACAGTTAACCTGTTTCTTTGGCTTTACAGGCCTAAAACAGCAATCAGAATTAAAATATGGAAACCAACAACAACATACATCTCTCAGGTCAAAGGTTATCTCCAGGTTCTTCCAGAAATTGTCTGCGAAGCCGGGGTAGATATCGAGGACCTCCAGCAGGTCTTCCCTCCGGACACGGTGCAGGTCACAGTATGTGATGGTGTGTACGTCTGCTTTGGACTTCCCTGGCTCATCGTACAGGTTGATAGGCTCTCCAAACACGTCATTCTTTTCTGCAAGAGCATGAATATTTGTATGAGATAGTCATGATGTTTTTCAAGCATTTTTGAGAGACTGCAGGCAAAACGACTGAGGCTTGTTATTACCTAATATTCCGACCACCACATCATCCCTCATGACTTGGATTGAACCGCGTGCGATGAAGAAGAGAGAGTCCAGCATGTCTCCATAGTGGATCAGAATATCTCCTGGAGGAGCGTGGACTGTCTTGAACCTCATACTCAAGGTGCGCAGACAGGCCTGACTGCCTCCATGGAAAGCCTTACAGTTCTCTAGCAGAGATCTGTTCAAGTGCAAATAGATGTCTGCCTGCAGCGAGCCTGGTAATCCCTTCATCACCTGAAAACAGAAAGACACGACCAACAGTATATTAGTGAGATGCAAAAGAGGGATATTAAACAACCTCAACCAAGTTGGACTTTTAAGAAGACCAGAACACTTAGTCTTGTAACTTTTTACTTACACCATTCATGTCAATGCCATTTGTGTAGGACCAGGCGTGTTGGAAGTGCTCCTCCAGCCTTTGGCGAAGGCATCCTGGGATTTGGTGGAATCGGATGAACTCTTTGACTCGCAGCATCTGGGTGTGGTAGCGGGTTGTACCAGAGTACAGACGCTGGATGATGGCTGACACATTCCCAAATATGCTGGCATACATAAGAGCTGGGAACGAAAAATAAATTGGGAAACAGATTATAAGGGTTCAGTGATTGTGGGACTTTAGTACGAATATCTGTTTAAAATTCAATGAAGATGTTGGGACTGTACAAAAAGTGCAAAGGTGGATGGGCTTTCATAAATTCCTCATTTTTTGAGACATTTACAAAAGGTAATTGTAGTTGTAGGGTAAAACCCAAATAAATCCTAATTAATGATGGGAGATTTCAGACTCCATTGTTACCCTTATCATTTCTGTACAGTCCCGCACAGTGATTTCAACTTACAGCCAATAACCATGACGCATATGGAGAAGATCTTCTCTGAGTTGGTGTTTGGAGAGACGTTACCAAACCCCACGCTGGTCAAACTGCTCAACGTGAAGTAAAGAGCCGTGACGTACTTGTCTTTGACGGAAGGACCCGAGCCGGTGTCAGTATCGTTGTATGACTTGCCCAGTTGTTCAGCCAGGTTGTCCAGCCATCCGGTCTCAGTGTACGGCCTCTCCACAAAGCCAATAGCGTACCAAATACAGGCGAGCCAATGGGCAATAAGCACAAAGGTGCACATGAGCAGGAACAGGACAGCAGCCCCATATTCAGAATATCTGTCCAGCTTTCTTGCCACGCGGACCAATCGCAGCAGTCGAGCTGTTTTCAGCAGGCTTGTTAGGGTTGCCATCTTTGGTGTCCATTAACGACAGGGAAGAGGGGGTTAGGCAGGAAAACGGCCATTCAAATTACAGTTACTTGAGATAACTAATTGAGGAAGAAGTTAAAACATTTGAGGAAAGAACAATTATATCTTAGTATAACTTCATTTTATAATCAATAGAGTGCTGAAAGAGTCCTAAAAGCTTGAGTTGGTATTTTATTTCAATTCCTGTTCCCTTGTCCATACGTTTTTTTGTATGGGTTTTTGGTTAGATTGCTCAAGCTTTAGAGATATTAACCTTGTTCTACAACATTAAATGCCTCAATAAATACACTATTTGTTATTCTTGAAGCTTTTACTTGAACTTAAAAAGGCAATAGCTAACAAGCGGCTAAATGAGACCACAGATGTTGTCTGGGACATTTAACATCAGTGGTCTAATGTTGATATTGTAACCGTGGTGTGGTTTACATTAGATTGTTATGAAGATGATCTTGTGTAAGTATCAAACATTGAGCTGAATTTTGCAATAATCTGAAAGATAATGAACAAATCATTGTTTTGCTTTCAGTCAAGGGAACCAAGGTGGTGCCAACTTCAAGATTGGCCTACAAAACGACATCATCTCTGCAGCACTCGATACAAACGATGTTAACTTTGGTTCTTCTGGAAAAATCATATTATATAATCTGCAGAGAAGCAGATCTCTTACCTCGTCAGAGCCAGATCTGAAAATGAGAAGGTCGAAAGGGATCGCTGCGAACAGATCAATGGGGAACCAGCCTTTGATATAGTGCTTGGCTATCCGGCTCGGCTGTGTGATCACTTCGTCGTTGCGGTTCACGTAAGTTGTGCGAAGGTTGATGACAATATCCACAATAAATAGCACGTCCACCAAAAGGTCTGCCACGTTCAGAGGGTTGCATGTGTAGCCACAAGTATGACTCCTTTGACGTATATCCCCATGTTCATCCAGGAGAAAGGTGGCCGAGTAGGGAGTGAAAACAGCTGTGTAGAGAACCAGGAGGAGAATAATCCAGTCCCAAAACGCCTTGAACGGGCTGTAGTGTAGCAAGATCAACCATGTTGTCTCTGGCACCTGGAGTTTGTATTCAGGCAGCACATCGGACTCCAAAGAAAGAACCTAAATATAAAGAATGCATCAGTATGCAAATGTTTCAATGTTCCCTTCCATCATATTTCTTCTATAGTGAAATCTGAACTATAGATTTTTAGGAGCATTTGAATGCATTTTAGAAAGACAATTTGTTCTCCCAGAAACCAAATGAACACTTTTACTTTAACCAACATTACAAATATAGCTTTTCACTTTGACACCAAGCAAAACAGGTACATTCTGTTAACTAATATTAAACAAAATCCCTTTCTAGAAGACACACTGTGACCATGTAGGTCCAACAAATCCTTGACCACCATCTTGTCATTGGTGATTCCCAACAGAGGCGTGACTTGAGTAAAGTTTTCCCCACAGATCATACAATTATTTCCAGATAGTTAAAAAGCAAAAAAATGTTGTGGTCTATAATCTACTATGCAGGATCTGACTGAGTACTGGTGAGCTGGGGGGGGCTGGAATGATGAGTTGTGCATCACACGACAGAGTTCATGTGCTGCCACGCTCCTCATGTTCTCTTCAACTTAACATTGGAAGCCCTGACAAATGTCACACTCATTGCAGACAGACAGTTGTATTTACCAGGTGCACAGATAAATAGTTCGATATAGAAAGATGGAAAATGTTAGGTTTTAGCAAGTGACCCCGTGCAGCAAGGTCACAAAGTGTCGACAGTTGTAGTTCATCACATAGCTTCCCAAAGAGGCAGTGATGCAGAATGCCGAGCCTCAGGGCTCCAACAGCGACAACAATAGGTCTGAATTGAACCGGTGCTCAATTAACTTTGCTTTTCACACCCAGAAGGAAAACACCCAGCCACATACTGATTTTTCCACTAGCAATCATCATGGCAACTTTCTGAAAGCCTCAAAACACGATTAATATGATCTCCTTAACGACGGCGTTAACCTGGCAAGCAGTGAATGCATCTGCGACGTCCTTTCTTGCTCCGTACCTGTGTGACCTTCTCCTTGACGTTCTGTGAGCAGTCCTTCACCTTGGAGGGGCTGAGCAGCTCTATCCTGGGGGTCGGAGGCGAGCGGCACTCAGGGCCCCTGCTGGCTGGACCCCCACTTATCTTAAGGTCTGAGTCAGACATGGAGCTCTACTGGAATACAGGTGAGCAGAAAACACATTTATATTAAGGCCAAAGTGAACCAAAAGATTATTTTTGCAGATGTTTTGCTTCTGTTTACTTCTTATAGTATAACATATCATTTTTCACTTCATTATTTTCTTGCTTTACTGGACTAATACAGTAGATTCGTATAACATTATATTTTCCAATTTCAAGCATGTCAAGCAAAACAAGTGACTCAGTGATGTTTAATATTCCGTAACGCCCTTAACAAATTAATCTCAGTTCGATTTCACAGAATGCCCATCTAACATCTAACACTTCTGCCCTTTAACACTTGATTGATAGATATACTTTATTGATTCCAAATTAGGGAACAAATGTGTTAGACAGTCTCAATACTTGACTCACAGTGTTACTGCGTAGAGAAGGCACGGTTACATAGTGGGAAAATCGCTATCAAATCTTCAGCAAAGCTTAATTTCATTGTAAGTAATATAACGTACCTGATTCGAAACCAGAATGTCAGATCCTTCTTGGACAACCATGACTCAGATATCCATACTTCAGGACACTTTCTGGACAAAGTGTTATCGAAAACATTCACTCTCTTCCTTCATAGTTCATATTTAGGCAAAATAAATGAACTTCTGTCATTCAGACATCAATGTTGAACCCTCCACTCGGGCACAGGGCAGAGGACTGGCCTGCAGCTCGCATGTTGCCGCGTGACACTCACCAGCACAGGAAACGAATCAATGCCATGCTATAGCTGAGAGGAACTGAGGGAGAAATCAATGATGAGCATTGATAAACAGAGCAAATGGGCTCAGTGCCATTATGCTGGACTTCCCCGCTAAAACCAAATCACGATTTTAGTGTCCTTGTATGCAGTTTGGCTGTGTAGATCTAAAATATAGTTCAGGTTGTGACGTACATCACACTGCTGTAGACAACAAAATCGGCCAGCTAAATGTACGGAGCTTGACAGTCATTTTTGGGGTCAATTACCTGTTATGACACTGGCTCAAAACGTCCTTCAGTTGTAACCTTCAGCCATATACTCTATATACATAAATATGTGTGTTATGTGTTACTTCCCTTTGAAATTTGAGCTTCAGTGTGAAGAATGATGTCTCTATTTGTATTGTATACGTACAACATGATTTTGTGACTGTCACTGAACATACAATTTATTATCACGGCCAAATATTTGATGTGTAAACTTGAATCCTCCAGACTCGAGCATATACCCTGATAATTGACTTTTCAGTAAAGATGACCTTTTATTGAATTTAACAGTTCAACTTTGTCATTGAAAAATATTTGCATATTCATAAATGATGTAGGAAAACGAGTAGATTTCATTTTAAATACTTTTAAAGAGGCTATTGTACTGTACATCTCATTGTGTCTTGATGGTATCTTTAAAAGAAAAATCATATTAAATTGATCCATGTCAACGTTTCTTCCATATTCAATGAATACAAGTTACATTTGATTTTGGTAAAACGTTTAATCTTCTCCAGCATCCCAAGAATGATGAGCTAAAGAAAAGGGACGTGAATGTGGTTATCAATACTTACTGTATTACAAACTTTTAAATACAGCATTGACTGGAATAAAATAAATAAAAATGCAGAAGTCTTTTGGCGCCGGCTGGTAATGATACTCTATTAATTTCAATCTTTTGAGAGAATATATTAAAGAAATGTCCATTTAAGTATACATCATGACAAGGACCACAACTTTCTTCCGCTTATAGTTCCTCACAGACAAGCGGTACAGGTTTTTTCCCCTTCGAAATATAATATCCAACATATGCGATATTCAGCGTCCACAAAATGTCCCGGATACGTCCTCAGCTGTCAGCCTGGATGTTGTCCCAGACTTGAACTACATCTGGACAGTCACTGAGGACTTCTACTAGCATTAAAGCCGCCTCCAGCTGATCTTCACTGAGAGACAAAGATATGCGTGGTACAAACTCCAACCCAACAGATGCGATCTCCAATCCAAGCTTCCCCAGTGAGGCCCGCAACTTACTGGTTTCCACCATGTCACAGATAAACTGAGGACAGAGAAACAAAACACAGTATTAGTTCAACTGTGGTTGGGCTGCAATTTACTATTATAGTCCTCATCAACATTGTGTATTTAAATGTGAGAAAATAGTGTCTTTAATCATTTCCAAATCGCAAGGTTCGGACAGCATTTGATCTGATAAACAGTCAAAAACACAAGATGGATACGCATTAAAATCATTTAAAAAAAGAGAAAATACATTTTGTTATTTTCTTTATGGGACTGGATATTTCTATTGTTCCCTCATATTTCTGGACTGCTCTCCTTAGAAACATGTCTGACCTTCAGGATGGGCTGCTCCTCCTCATCCTCGCTCTCTTGGACATCTTCGGCTCCCGCCTCGATGGCCAGCTCCAGAGCTCTGTCTGTGGAGACGTTCTGACCCGGGACCACCACCACCCCCTTCCTGATGAAGTTGTGGCGCACTCCGTCTGAAATCATCCCTCTGTGGGTGAGTAGTGGGAGAAAACACAAGACTATATTAAACTTCATGAGGCTATATTTGATTGAAATACATAAACCACATATGGGTTTGTATTAGGTAAGTTTTTTGTTTAAAAGCTGTATTTTTCTCATTGTTTTGTTTATATTCTTAGCCCAGTAGCCACTAGGGACATCTAGTGGCTACTGGGCAGTGGTGTAAGTGGTAGTAATACTATTGTCCTTAATACTCCAATACAAGTACAAAGTTCAGCAAAATGTTTTTTAACTATCAACATTAAAAGTACTCAGTGTAGAATGTTTTCACAGTATAGTAGTGTTATAAAGTGTAATCATTTGCTTTTATCGCCTTGAAATATTGTGACATGTAATGTCATTTCAATGTTGTAGTGTGCAATTCGTAGTACAGAACTGCTTCATATCATATAAGCATATTATACCCGTTCTTTGAGAGCAGCCGTTTGATTTCATGGTTGGTGCCTGTGCGGTTGTCAGTCAGCGTCTCGATGAGCAGCATGCACCCCCCCGGCCCCCGAGCTTCATAAGTGAGCTGCGACCCTGGTTTGGTCTTTTCCAGTCAAGCCAAGGAAAAATACATGAATGAGTTAATCGCAGCATTTTATATCATAACAATAGCATTTTCATGATATGTTCTATACTGGATAAGTATACAGACAGGTAACAAGGAAACATTTGTTGTTCTCTTTGCCAAGTAGCATTGATGCTGTTAAGTATAAAGGACTTAAGCTGCCATTATAATAATAATAATAATAATATATTTTAATTATTATAGCACACTTAGTCTATTAAGATATTTTTTCCACATTTATTTTGTCATTCATTCATTATATTTGCTTTAGTCTCTGTCTGTAAGTGGTGGCTCAACCTCTCATTAAGAAATTGTATTTTGTTTAGTTTTTTCATTCATTTTTCACCCATTGCCCACCTACCGCAGTCTTGATGGCGGACTCTATGGATGTTTTGGGCATGTTCTTGCTTTTGCACTGCTCCAGCACGTTGGCTAAATTTACATTCATCCCTGGGTTGGCTCCCCCTTCTGCAGATTAAACAAACATCACAATGAGCTGACATGAAACGCTCCGAAATGTATATGCAATATCTTATTGTCTTTAAGACTCTTGAATATCTTACCTTTCACAGCTACCTTTATCAGAAAAGCTAACTTCATGAACATCTTGCACCTCGCCATATCTTTAGGTCCCTTGATGTGTTTCACCTTTGACCACTTGTTGTGTCCTGCACAGAGGGCGGAGCACACCTGCAGCGACCGGGCAGGAGAGATCCTCCACGGCGGGTAAAGCACACATGAAGCCGGGAAGAGGACGCACTCCCCCGGGTCCAGAAACCTGCCTGAGGTCGCTAGTGTCCGGGGGCGCAGGATCCGGAGAGACCTCAACACCGCCGCCCCAGCCATGCCCTTCAGAGTGGATACAGTGTTACAGTAACCTGCTGTACATGTGGAGGGAGACAATACTACGAGCCTCCGTCTGCAGGTGAGGCCTTTAATTTCAGAAACCTGTAACTTTCACATCATCAAATAAATGTAAAAGCCTTAAGTTTTCCAAACGTACTGTTTGGACAAGTCGGCTGAACACGCAGCTGCTGCTGTCCTTGTTATGAGACCAGTTACTTCCTGGTTGTGACGTCAGAACGTGACGTTAGAAATGGTCGCTTCAAAATAAAAGCGCAATAAAGCGACATAAGCAAATTGACAGTTCACTACAAAAATGAGAACAATACAAGATAATGTATTGAATAAAAAATGTTCTTTCTACAAAACTACACCTGCCAGGCATACCATCATTATATATCACAGCTGGTAAAGGTGGAACTACTTTGAATTCTGTCGTTCAATGGACAGCTTCCCCCCCCCATCAATGTATATACTCGCATTTTAGACTCTAACTGTATATCTGTAGACTTGGTATGTCTTAAATGTCCGGTTAGGATGTATTAGAACGAAATCTAAAATGAAAATTGTAAATAAGCAATCTGTATGTAAAAAACCACCTGTATGTAACAGTGGCGAGCCGTGACTTTTATACCTAGGCCCTCTGACCCCCCCCTCCTTCCCTCGAGTTATTACGTCACAGCGTATACTTCAGCGGAATATCAAAACAACGGCCCGGGGTGCAAAACGCATCAATGAAAGTGACCCTCTACCACACAAAACAACACCTGTAAATAACCCTATTTGTGTTCTTTGAAATTGAAAAGGATATTGCATTGTGTTTGTTACTTTCGTTGCAGTTGTATGTCTTAAGTGTAATGTGGCATGCTATTATTTTGAAGGCGAGTAAACGCTGTTGACAGGAAGTTGTTGTTGCTATGGAAATAGAAAAGTTTCACAGCGGGCGGAACTTGTCATAAAGTCCGCGATAATAACACCCACCCATTTAGAGGGAAGATATGGTTGGTCAATTGTACTGTCATTTGACATTACTCTCTCGTTCAGTTACTAAAGCTGGGCCCTCTGTGAATTCATAGCTGGACCGCCTGGACGTCCAATCAGCTCCTGTCTTCACAGTAACTCGCAGAGACGAGCTTCTTTCATTTAACCCTTCACATTCCAACAGAAACTGAATAGGCAGATTCGAAGGATTTATTTCTTTGGAAATGTTATTTTAAATACAATTAAATCAAGTTATTTTGGTAAAACTAATGAAAAATATAACTAAAACAAAATATTTAAAAAAATATTTTTTTTAAATATTATTTTTGTAGAATATCTTAGGCCCTCACAGAGGGCCTAGAGGGCCCTGACGGCTCGCCACTGGTATGTAAATTGTAAATAAGCCATCTGTATTGTAACGTTCCCAAGATGAGTCGGAGACAGGCTTGTAGTTATTAGGCTATATAAATAAACATTGATTGATTGATTGATTGATTAGGCTTTAATAACTAGTATTTGAAGACAGATGATAACAGGTCACTTCGTGGGTTCTACCCATAGACTGTATATATAAGGGTTCTACCGCACACTAACTTATTTCCTAAACCAACCACAAGATATAGCACTGTCTACGTCACAACTCCCCGCCCTCCCCCGTCCGCTCCACCAACCACAGGCCCGCACCTCAGCCACCATCACGGTGCAGCTCTATGATTGGCAGAGAGACGGGGGATGCCTAAGTGACACCCTGAGTAGCCTATCAGGATCGCTACAGTATGTCAAATATGTCTTATATGTCTTAAATGATATGATTAATTGGAAATGGGGGACCCTGATGTAAACAAGACGAAAGTCTTTCTCTGGTCTGCATCCCCTTAACAATTGTATGTTTTGAGCTGTACTGTACTGTACCCAATATACAAGCTGTTAATAAACTTTTCAATCAATCAATCAATTAATTTATGTCTACTGTTCCTGTGTATCTTCACCTAAAATAGCATGTCTATTTAATAATAAATATATTTGTTTGTATAAACTAACCATTTGAATATAAAGTAACTTGTTATAGAGTATAAACGTACAATATTGGCTTCTAAAATGCAGTGGATTAGAACAGTGGTTCCCAAACGGTGTGCCGTGAGGCAAGTCTGGGTGTGCCGTGGGATTTTGTGAGAACCAAACGTTATTATTGCAATTTCCAACTACACAAAAATAATTATTTTTTAATTTACTATATCAGTAATTTGTAGGTTTATATGTACGTAATCTGCGCGACTTGCGCGTCCACATCTCCACGTGCAGTGCTGCATAAACATGGCTGAGTCAGCGATAACTTTCGAGGGGTGGAGGTATGCCCATTATTTTGAGTTCGTCCGAAGAATAGACAGGAATGTGACGGTGAGGTGCAAACTGTGTCCAGGCCAGAAGCTGTTATCCACTGCTGTAAACACCATGTCAAACCTCAACAAGCACCTGCAAAGAACACATGCTAAGGTGAAGCTAACGCATCTATTTGTTGTTTGTTTATATCACGTAGTCTGTTCTTCTTCTCTGTTTTCCGGTTGTTGCCTGTTTTGAATGACAAATACACACTACCGCCGCCTGCTGGTAAGGAAAGTTATTGCCACTAACGCATGCGCAGTTCGTACGTGCTCGGCGAGTAAAGTAACCAGTATGTAGATAGTAACGAAGTAGTGTAATATATTACTTTTTAAAAAGCAATATGTAATATATTACATTTTTTAGTAACGACCCCATCTCTGGAGTTGGCGTTCTCTACTCTGATTTACATGAAGAACAACAGGAGGTCACGGCTCTCTGTTGAACAGGACTTGCGAGTGGCCCTCTTCTCAGTGCAACCAAGGATTAAAAAATTCTGCGCGCCCCGACAGGCACATGTATCTCACTAATTTGTAAGTCGGCAACAATATTTACAATAGCACATGTTTCAATGCTGATTGCTGAAATGTTACATTTATAATTTGTAGTTCAGGACCATGGACAATGCAGCTTCCTTGCATTGACAGTTCTCTGTGCTGAATTTCTGCTGAGTTTCCTTTGCCTCATTTTTTATTTTGTGACCTGTCTGGTTTAAATGAGTGTGTTGCTGCTTTGATGAAGCCTAATTTGATACAGTTTCAAATTAATTTCTGAAATATTTCGTTAATAAATATTTCATGAGTAATATAGTTGTCTTTGTCACATTTTATTTGGCATTAGTAAATAATTATGCACATTTACAGATATTTTACATGATATGAGTGATAACACGTGTTATAAGGGCTATTTTGCACAATAGGTGTGCCTTGAGATTTTTACTTGTCCTTTGGTGTGCCTTGGGCACAAAAAGTTTGGGAACCACAGGATTAGAAGAATGAAGTAGTATAAAAGGAAATAATCAGGTAAAGCAGACATTTACATTAAATTAAGTACAGCACTTGCGTAGATGTACTTAGTTACATCAGTATGTTTGTTCATGTCAAATATTCACAGACGTTGCTGGTTCCTCATCTAATGAATACCATGCATACTAAATATTTATACTGTTTATTGTCATTTACATTCTCCAATATAGTTGTATATATTCCTGGGTCATTGTAAGGAGTGCTGCATGAGAAAAATGTAAACTCGTAAACCATGGGAACATAAAATCTCTTAGAGGGCCCCTGGGTGTTTCTGGTTGACATTGGGAACATTTATATATATAAGCACACATGTTAAACCACAACTGATCCCAAAAATAAGCCAAATTATTATTTATGATTCCCTTATCATTTGTGTATTCATTATATCTGATAGTATCAGCGAGGTTAGTTCTAGAGATGATAGGTTAATTGGCACAAACAGTAAGCAGTGTGAGTCTGGTCTGTATCATTGTCCTTCTAAAATGTCCGAGCGTGAGAACTGGAAAATAAATGTTGGACTCTTGGCATGGGACCAACGTTTATCAAATCATACTGCTTCTATTCATGATAAAGGGACATAATAATAATAATAATAATAATAATAATAATAATAATAATAATAATAATAATAATAATAATAAAAAGCCTGTGCTCCATTCTTGTCTAGGATAAAAAAACAAAAACATCAAAGAACATTTTTGAGCACTAGAGATCTGACCAATATATGTGTGACCAAAATGTGTATTTAGGTGATAAAGTATAAGACTTAAGTTATGGTCACAATTAAGTTCTAAGGAGAAGGCTTATATTCTAAGGAAAATTAATGAAATATTAGTTTTTTACTTAAACATACAGGGAGAGTAATTCAAAGAGCTTTACAGCAAAGGCAAGAAAATAGAACAATTAAAAAAAGACAAAATTACACTTGTGAAATACTACATTAAAATATGTTGAAATTCCATACATTTACTAGATATAAATTGCACAAAATGTGTCTAAATATTTGAAAAAAGTATTACTTTCATGCCACAATATTGTTATAGCTTTCTTTTGAGTTAAAACATCGTTAGGGGGTATTCTAAGAAAATATTGATATATGTAATCAATTGTGATTAAATCAGCAAACAGGCAAATATTGTATTACTGCCACTGCTTAAAATCTTCATGCCTAATGAAAACGTATATAGCTCCGCCCCTTTTACTTTGTCTGGAAGGAGACAAGCGGAAAAAAACAGCCACAGAGAAACAAACAGATCTACAAACAAGACAGCAGAGACAGAGGAGCAGAGCCGATGAGCACGAAGGGTTAACTGAGGTGGAAGCCACAGCCAATCAAAGCCAACCTGTGTCTGATAGACAGCCGTCCAAAGAACTGAAAAAGGAGGAGATTTAGTCCACAGTGCTTCCCTCTGTCTCTCTTCTCTCATTACACACTTCTACATTGTCCCTCAAACCTGAGACGTGATGTCCACCGAGCCTCGAGGAGAAGCCTGCAGAGAAGAGAACTTCTAAAAAGCTCCAGAAGAAGAATCTGCAGAAACAAGAACACCATGAGCAACGATGGGATACCAGAGAAGAAGAGACCTTAACTTTGGGATATGAGTTCCTTCAATGCAACGTGAGGAGGATAAGATGATCTGATGTCAAACAAACGTCCAGTTTGAGTCGAAAAAAGACGTCATGTCTCCTGCTAAAGGAACCGGTGTCTTGGCTCTTTTCCACAGTGCCATGATAGTGATGGCACTGGTGAGTTTAATCTACTTATCCTGATTGGTGATTGCATTGTTGATTACTTAATTGATTGAATGGGTTTCAGAACTATTTAACTTTTCTTTGTTTTTTTATCTACTTTCCTCTATTTGATTAAGTTTATCGACCAAGCATAGAGAGACAAATAGTTTCTTTGCATTTACTTTTGGTCTCCGAAAAAAAACACGAACATTTGCAATCCCATTTTATTTTTTATATTTATGATTTGTGCAACAAAGTTCTATTGGATCCTATTTCATTAGATCTTATTTGTATTGGGAATCACCTCCTTAAATGAAACAAAGCAGCAATTCAATTCTCAGTCTTAACAAAGGATTCGTTTTTATATTCTACATTGAAGCTTTTCACACAGGAGCTTTATATCTTACACTATAACATGACTGAGTCAGAAATAATCCTCACAAACTTCTGCACTTTGGGCCAAATATAGAAAATGTCATATATCTGTGACTCTCTTTGGTCGTTATGTACTTCAGAAAATGTGCCAGCCATTCACAAGCAACACTAAGCATAGAGAGTAGAATGGTTCTTCTTTTTTTAACAAGTGAGGGGATAGCGAATCGTTTTTTTTTTTAGCAGTATGGACCCTTTAACTAAATGCCTAACTAATACCATAGGAATAACAACAAAACTAATATAATTGTAGGATATGTTGCCTCTACATTAGTGAAATGACTGATAACAACTAGGGAATTGCACAGGTAACTCACACTAAAGCGCAGAATCTCCACAATAACAAATCACCTGTGTTCTGCTTTACCTCACCTCCATCCGGGTGACCCCTTTAACCTTTCACCTACTGAAGCGTGACCCCCCCTGCAGCTCCCAGACCACCGTCGCCTCTGAGCGCCATCTCTTTATCTTCGCCGGGTCGATCCTGAGTGTCGACCTCAGGCAGAATTACAACCTCCTGCTCAGTCAGCCCGAAGCAGAGGTCTGAGATAGCAAATTCAATTATGACACAAAGGAGAGCTGATTGTTTTGCTAACACTCCCTGTCCGTCAGCACAAAACCCTCCTGTGCAACGAAGGGGAACGACTTCTCCGTATTTACTTGCTTGTTTTAATTTATGGGGATATTTTGTCGAGGCCGTCTTTGTTCAACATAAAACTTCCAATATCTAATTGTGGGCAGAAATTATCGACAAGTGTTTTAATGGGATTGCCAACACAGCCAGAGTGTGTCCAGTACAAAAACAACAAGTGGATTCATCTGAATTCTCTGTATTGACTTTGGCTTCAAGTCCGCCCCCCCAAAACAAATCACTGTAAGGAATGAGTGATACAATACTGAAAACAGTGCTCACTGCCAAGCTTATGCCAAGAATGTTAGTTATCACATATCCATCAACATGAACAAAAGTTTCCAGTTAGTCAGTTTCCTTTGCTTAAAGTTACAATTTGAAAGATTTGCACTATCTTTTCTTTATAAGTGGTAGTTGCAGGTGGATCTCAATTCCTATAAATCAAAACAGTGTGCACCCCTTGTGATTTTTCCCAGGATTATTTCCACAGACACCATCAGCGATAAATAGAGTTTTGACAGACTGAATTCAAATCTTTGAGATTATGGCTTTAAAAGATTAAATAATTACAGAAAATAATAAATACAAGTATATTCAACTTCTAGATTTAGAATCCTATTTAAAGGAATATTCTATTCACAACATGATAATTTGAATATACATTTCTCACAAATCTCAAGAATGTATTTTCTCTCGCATGGATATATCGGGAAACTGAAACTGTCTTGAAGAATTTAAAGTGGACCTATCATGCTATATTTGAATAATATAGTGTAGGACCATACCTATATAAGGCATATTTATACTTTTTATTTTTCAAAATCCCAAACAGATCATGCATTTTAGCCATTCCTCATTTCGTTCAATTTAACACCGTCTTTTCATGGGCTGATTCTGTGAGAACAGCACCATCTACAGGCTTGGCATATGTACTACAGCGTCTCCAGCGCTTTCGAACGGCAATGTCCGTGGCTGTCTCCTCCTGATTGGTGGAGTTGGCCCAATAGCCGTAGCGCCACTTCTGTGACGTCATAGAAGTGTTCAAATCTGGATCAGTCTGTATCAGATCCGTTGCAGCCCCTTTTTAAGAGATTTGGGTATGGAGGAAAATAGAGAGGGTTGTGTTTTCTGACACTTGGTGAGTTCCCTAGAACACCGGGGACACATATTCATGTATGAAAAACGTACAAAAGTGCATTTTGCATGATCGGTCACCTTTAAGTAAATCAACTCTGATTGTGATGTATCACCCAAGACCCAAGTCTCATTTATCAAGTCAAATGCTCACTTCTTATGTGCATTTTTGCTAAACCTTGAAAAACTGATGGTGCATTCACACTGAATGTGAATTTAAGATTTAATATATTGTTTGTGTCATTCCTGCTGCCTGTCCATTGGCTCCTTTGTATTGAGCCTAAAGTTGAAAGTATCAAAATGAAAGTGCTCAGTCTTCTGAAAAACAGCCCTCATGATGGATAACGTTTATATATTACGTTATGAGATGCTTCTATTCATGCAACTTAACTATTCTACCTCTTTCCAACTTTTGCCAAGTCTCTTTCTTTGAATCTCTCTGCCTAATCGCTTCTCTCACCGCCCTCTTCTGTCGGTCAAAGGATTCTCATGTGATTTCTGTAGTTGCTAGTTTTGCTGCTCTGTTGTGAAATGTAGCCGCCAACACAGAGCTGCTTGTGTGGAGCAGCTCTCACCGGCATGGCCGAGGTCTCGAGGTAAAGACCCCCATGTGGCGAGCGGCCGCCCCTCCACTGAAAAAAAAGCAGTTTGCGAGGGATCACGACATACCGCACCCTCACAAAACTATTTCACAACACCTGGAGGCAGCACATTAGATCCTCTGGAGGTTCTGCGGCTGACACATCGCCCTGCAGCTGGGAAAATACTTCAGAGGGACTTCAGTGGGTTTTCCGATGCTTTATTTGAGTAAGGTACAAATGTCACACTGGGAAAATCCTGCATTTAAATCGTTACCTAAGTAAAAGTATGTAAGCAGGCAGTAGTGAAAGAAGAACTATATATATATATATATATATATATATATATAAAACCTATGTTAATAAAGTAAAAGTACTCATCATACCATAGTGTAGAAGTACTCTGTTCAAGTCCAATATCCAACATTTTATTTGAGTAAAAGTATGAAAGTATGAGTGTCAGAATATTCTATAATATTATATTAATTCTGCACACCAACCCACTTCCGATTAATATCTAATATGCTATTGGATACAAATTGGATAAAAATCATAGATGCATTATTTTGACTGAGGATTTTTGACTATATTCTGCTGGGTAATTAGTTATTTCCACCAAGGGATCAATAAAGTTAATCCTAACCTCTAACTAGAAAATGCATTTCCTGCAGAAAATGCGTGTGAATGCTGTAAACTGTGTACATTTGTGGCTGAATTTAGCTGAAAATTCAGAAAAAGCTAAATATGTTATTAGTTGAATGGTCTCTGTAGCTGCTTTTAGCTACAAAAACCAAGTAAGTGTGTTGCTGAACTTAGCGGAGAAATGCAGAAAAGTGAAATTATTTGAATCAAAATTGTTATAGAAACTTGAAAGTGAAATGTTAACTGGAAGAGTAGGAAAAATAGTGAAGAAGCTTAATATTTAAAAGAAAGGGTTTAAAAAAGGTATAAACAACAACATGTATAGCCTCAATGTCCTGAAATAGCTGAATAAGTTAATAGTTTAATGGTTTCTGTAGCTGAAAGTAGGCTGAAGGAGTTAGATATTAAATGTAAGTAGTAGTGAATGAATGTGTATTAAGAAGAGAAAACAAAGTAAAAACCAGACAGAATATTTTAACTGCACACTTTTGAACTAAAACCATACGTCACCAATAATGTATAAAATATGTGGAACGTGTTGAAGTCAGTATGAAGTCTCCATCAGACAGAAAATAATAGGCTGAGACAGTCTTTAAACTCCAGTCTGTTTGTCAGTGTTTGTTTCTGTGCTGAGCACCTAATCATAACACCTTTGTGTGAGCCCAGAGATCAAAGGTTACCATGGTGACGGCGTTATCAATCACCTGTGTACGTGAGCCCAGAGATCAGTGGTTTCCAAGGAGATGTGCTGTGAAAGGAGAGCCTTTCCATTGTTCTGAATGAGAAATAAACCTCTAACATTTCTAACTATAGTTTAAAAACGGTAGCTGCTTTCGTAAAATGTCAACGCGTGGAGGATGTCAGGACCCTGACGAGCGTCTGAATCTGCTTTTTGTGTACTTTCGGGTCCATAATGTGGCATTTTTGGCAGATTTACTAAAGGTGTGCAGCTGCTGCTCTGAGGACAGATCAGGCTTGATTTACAATGGGCCCTAATGGAGACATGCTGAACGTTTTTGTCACTTCATGCCCTCAGGAGGCATTTTGTTTGATTTTTTTTTCTTAATTTTTAGAGAGGTTTTCCTACTTTTTTCACAAGAAATGATGTCCCAGGAGTGTAGGGTTTGGGAATTATGGCAGTTTTAAAAAAAAAAAAATGTAAGGCGAATTTCAAGCTCTCCTCCACTCTAGCTGTGACATCACGCCCTCTAGCCTTTAACGAGCTGCGCAATACACACGTTAAAATCTGAAGAAGGCCTCTTTACCAAGCTCCAAACTAAGTTAAATATCTCAAAAAGTATAAAGGTAAAAAACAAGAAAAGCCATGTCCTGAAGGAGCTGAACATTTTAATATTTGAATGGTTTCTGTAGCTGAAAGTATGTGGAAGGAGTAGCACAAGGTGTAGGTAAAAGAGGATTTGAAGGTTCCTCCCATTGAGTTACGCATGTTAAAAAAATTGTTTAAAAAGATGAATATTTCAAAAAGTATAATATATTTTGAAAAAGTTGAAAGTTTCCCATCATGTGCTGAAAAGGCTGAATAGTTTGATATTTGAATGGTTTGTGGCTGTTGCACAGCATTCACACTAATTATAGATAAGTTATTTGTTGGTTATATACTGTAGTGGCGTACAAATATAATGTAGCAGCAAATGGAAATGCTCAATTAAATTACCTCAAACTTGTACTTAACTAACATGTTCCCTGTCACTTCAATAACTTTATTGCATCTTTCTCTACAGATCGACTCTGATGATGTCATCACCCGAGATGAGCAGATCTACGTTCTGATTGGTGCTCACGCCCGATGTGAGAGGAACATCCAGGCACAGTTGGCCCTGGTTAAAGGTTAGCGTGCTTTTTTGGATAATTGTATCCATTTAAATTAGGGACAGGACAGTGCTCAATGTAGTTATCCTGTCATTAAAAAGACTATATGAATAAAATGTAAACCTTTCCATAACATTACTTAAACATTTATATGTTGAGTTTGCCAATTAAATTCAAATAGTTTTGTTATCTTTTAAAATATTTATTTCATAGCATACCAATTGTTTCTATGAAAACAGAAGAGGTCAGGGAGTGCATGTTCAAATATGTAATCAGAAACTGTATTTATTACATCAATTATTTATTTTGGATCAGATATGGCACCCATCCAATATCCTGCTGAGCAGTATCTCTGTGATTACAGAGATGAATTTGGGTGCAGACAAAAGCAGGTCATTTTTCATTCATGCTACTGATGAATTGTTTGAATGATCTATTTGGAGAGGAAGATGGAGCCCACAGTCTGAAGAAAAGTAATGTCCAAGCGAGGCGCAGCAAACATCAGATCCACAGATATCATACAAAATCCTCCAATATAAAACTATAACAATAAAAGATTTGACAGTATATATTTTAGGAAACCATAACACGTGATATTTTCTTCAATCATAACCATTCAAACCTTTTTTGAGATACTTTAATGGAGTATTTCCATGTAATGCTACTTGTTTCTTCAACTCCATGTCAGAGAAACAACATTTAACTAACAGCTCCTTTTTAATATTTCTGATTAAAGTTTTCACCCAAAACATGACAACACCAGAAGAGTGCACTAGTCATGATGCTTTTATACAGATTGAACTGCAGTACAGTATCTAAAGTGGTCAAATGCAGCTATATTTGTCTAGTAATTAAAATTAAATGCTGCTTACACGTCAATGGATCAAATACATACTCATTGAATATGAAGGAAAGCTCAAACTTTATCTTTACCTGTCTAACAGCTGTGTTCCTTTATTTGTGAAGAAGGTGACTGTGTCCCCGAGTGGGATGGGATCATCTGCTGGCCGCGGAGCAGGGCGGGTCAGCTGGTGTCAGTGCTGTGTCCAGAGTACATCTACGACTTCAACCACAGAGGTGGGTCAGCTCAGGAGACGCTAACACGCAGGAATAATGATAGAGCAGATTAACAAGGAGGAAATAAACGTTATTCAAATGAAAAATTACACTATTGCTAATGTTTTGCACTCCTGTGACCCATGCAGGACGAGCTTACAGACAGTGTGACGCGTCAGGAAACTGGGAGCAGGTTGCCAGTATCAACCGCACTTGGGCTAACTACTCCGAGTGCACCACATACCTGACCTCCAACCACAGGATTCAAGAGGAGGTACGCACGTGTGTTTGTCTACATACAAAGAGTGTTTGTCTATGGATTTTGACGGATTTTGAAATCTTTAGTGTTGCAGAATACTGCTGTTTAACAGTGTATTCAGATCCGTAGTACCAAACTGTGCAAATACTATATTCAAAATCTAAACACATCTGGAATACATGGTTTTTACTGGACACAGACGCAATGGTAAACTGGAATCTCAAGTTGACTAAAGCTGATAAATGCACAGTAAAAAGTACCGTATTTGCTGTTGAGATGCTGTAAAGTAGAATAACAGTATAAAGCCTCGTAAATTAGTAATACCTCAGCACCTAGACATACTTGGTGTCTGTTGCGCACTATTAACCATGTTTTTGTTTTGCTTCAGAAGGTGTTTGAGAGACTCCACCTCATGTACACTGTCGGATATTCCATTTCTCTAGCATCGCTGTTGGTAGCCGTCTCCATCCTCTGCTATTTCAAGTGAGAAACATTAACACATCTCTTCAAAAAGCATCGGTATTCACAGTCTATTGTCTACATCAGTGGTTCCCAAACTTTTTGTGCCCAAGGCACACCAAAGGACAAGTACAAATCTCAAGGCACACCTATTGTGCAAAATAGCCCTTATAACACGTGTTATCACTCATATCATGTAAAATATCTGTAAATATGCATAATTATTTACTAATGCCAAATAAAATGTGACAAAGACAACTATATTACTCATGAAATATTTATTAACGAAATATTTCAGAAATTAATTTGAAACTTTATCAAATTAGGCTTCATCAAAGCAGCAACACACTCATTTAAACCAGACAGGTCACAAAATAAAAAATGAGGCAAAGGAAACTCAGCAGAAATTCAGCACAGAGAACTGTCAATGCAAGGAAGCTGCATTGTCCATGGTCCTGAACTACAAATTATAAATGTAACATTTCAGCAATCAGCATTGAAACATGTGCTATTGTAAATATTTTTGCCGACTTACAAACTCGTTACTTTACTCGCCGAGCACGTACGAACTGTGCATGCGTGAGTGGCAATAACTTTCCTTACCAGCAGGCGGCGGTAGTGTGTATTTGTCATTCAAAACAGGCAACAACCGGAAGACAGAGAAGAAGAACAAACTACGTGATATAAACAAAAAAGCATGTGTTCTTTGCAGGTGCTTGTTGAGGTTTGACGTGGTGTTTCCAGCAGTGGATAACAGCTTCTGGCCTGGACACAGTTTGCACCTCACCGTCACATTCCTGTCTATTCTTCGGACGAACTCAAAATAATGGGCATACCTCCACCCCTCGAAAGTTATCGCTGACTCAGCCATGTTTATGCAGCACTGCACGTGGAGATGTGGACGCGCAAGTCGCGCAGATTACGTACATATAAACCTACAAAGTACTAATATAGTAAATAAAAAAATTATTATTTTTGTGTAGTTGGAAATTGCAATAATAACGTATGGTTGTCACAAAATCCCACGGCACACCCGGACTTGCCTCACGGCACACCAGTGTGCCGTGGCACACCGTTTGGGAACCACTGGTCTACATCATCAATAAAACACAAGTCAAAATATGTGTCTTTAACCCTACAGGCGGCTCCACTGCACACGCAATTACATCCACATTCACCTCTTCACCTCCTTCATAAGTCGTGCAGTCAGCATTTTCGTGAAGGACACCGTGCTCTACTCCATATCTGAAGATAGAGAGGATGACTTCAATGCATTGAAGCCCCCTATGGTGAACAATGTGTTTTAATATTTATAACCATTTATTCTGTTAACACCATAACTGTGCTGACAGCATACCGTCAAACTATTCCTTTATTATAAACAGAGCTAATGGACTTTTCATGTCAACATTTGATGGCATGTTGATGTTTCCTTCTTCTTTGTGTCCTCAGGCCGGCTGTAAAGCGGCCGTCACTCTCTTTCTTTATTTCCTGGCGACCAATCATTACTGGATCCTGGTGGAGGGGTTGTATCTTCATAGCCTCATCTTCATGGCCTTCCTCTCTGACAAGAACTACCTGTGGGCCCTCACCATCATCGGCTGGGGTGAGCTGCATCAGACCAGATACTCTGCTGTCTTACAGTGGATTAAACAAACTCACATTATCCTAATATCTCTCTCCGCTCCTCCCAGGTGTTCCAGCTGTGTTCGTGTCTGTCTGGGTCAGTGCTCGAGCATCGCTGGCGGACACACAGTGAGTCTTGTGATGCTTTTCAGTGTCTTATATTACCACAAAGCTGTGTCATAATTCCTCACGTTTCCTTTTTTCTCTTTTTGCTTTCAGATGTTGGGACATCAGTGCAGGGAACCTGAAGTGGATCTATCAAGTTCCCATTCTGGCAGCTATTGTTGTAAGAAAAAATACTTTTTCAGACTATTGTATATAGCCTACGGTAAATACCTTTTACACTTGGGTTGATTCTAACTGCGGCCTTACTGTACACCTCTGTCCATACAGGTGAATTTCCTCCTCTTTGTTAATATAATACGTGTACTGGCCTCTAAACTGTGGGAAACAAACACTGGTAAATTGGACCCTCGGCAGCAGTATCGGTAATATTTATTTTACTTTGAAATTCCACTGAAAATGTTTAATAGACATCCATCATTCTACACTATAGTTTTTACAAATGTTAAAAAAACGACATGAATGTTGTGCTGTTTATCTTCAGGAAGCTGCTGAAGTCCACATTAGTCCTCATGCCGTTGTTTGGAGTTCACTACATGGTGTTCATGGCTCTCCCCTACACTGAGGTCACAGGGCTGCTGTGGCAGGTTCAAATGCATTACGAGATGTTCTTCAATTCATCTCAGGTCAGAAAACACAATTATAAACTCTGCATAGAATGCTGTGATTTCATGTTTAATTCAAGTGTCTATTATGACTATGATTATAACTTCTATTGAAATGCTTTAAAAAAGCGTTAAGAGTGTTAAATCCAGAAATATTATCTCAGGGTTGTACTATGAGGCAACATTTCTGATAACCTGAACTCGTGAAAAAAAAATCTTTCAATGATTTATATTTAGTTATTTTTAACACATTTCAAGTGTGTGTTATTACATTTTAAACAATACACTTATTTGCTTTTTGCCAACTAAAATATATATACCACACATGGTCTGTGTGGTAAACATTGCGTTTCAGCCAGCAGCTGTTAGCTTAGCATAAAGACTGTGCCATGATGTTTTGTTTATTAACTAAATCACGTTTTTTTCAGGGCTTTTTTGTGGCATTCATCTACTGCTTCTGCAATGGAGAGGTAATGAATTAGTTACTTTTGAAAAGCAGATGTACTCTAATAATAAATGAAACAAATATAACAGGGTTGCCAACTTTGGGTACCTGGCTGGAGTGAGATTTTGATATCATGGGTTTAATTACATAATGCGCACGAAATGACTGCTATCGTGTCAGCAGCGGGACCTTAGCATATATATATAGGATATATATACAATATATACAAATACAGTGGCGTTTTTATATGTACAAAAGTGGTGGGGCACAAAAAACTTAGATGTCTATAGCTTCTGCAGTGAGGTTCATGGCTGGTGAGGCACTGGCACTGACTCTTCAGGTTTACAAATATTATATTTTGACCTAAATCAAAATATAATATTATTTTCAAAAGCTTTTTTTGTCTGATGCTTCAATTAATTTTAAACAGACAGTTCAACAAAAGGATACCCAAAAAATGTAATTTTCTCATTTAAATATTGAATTGTTCTCTCTTAGTAAGATCCCATTTTCAATAAAATTGCAGTCTTACCTTGACTTGAAGATTAAGTCCATTTGCCTATCCTTCTGGACAAAAATCTCTATTACTTTTTTGTAAAAGTCCTCCTTATGTTCTTGTAGTTTCAAAAGTCTATCATAAATCTAATCTAATCAATAGATTTATGATTCGAAAATTATAAAAGTAGGGTAGACATGTGGATATTATCCGGCTGAACAAAACGTGCATGTATCTAACAGCTACGTTTCCCACATACAAGTCCTATGGAGAAATCTCATTGCTTTTTTGTCGAGGGAAGCCATGCGTAGCTTACTTCCGGGTGTTAGGACGCCTCACTGCAGCTCTCTCGTCTCCTCTTCACACACACCACACTTTTCGCGGCACACGTACAGCCAATCAGCTCTGAATGATGTGAGATGACGTATGGTGGGGATGGCAGCACTATGCCCCTATGGTCATAATTTTTTTGCCACACACATTAAATAGGAAAATATTCTGAGCATGCGCAGTGTAGTTTTTACAGTCACCGTTCACTTAGACCAGTGGTTCTCAAAGTGGGGGGCGCGCCCCCCCAGGGGGGCGCAGAGGCATGACAGGGGGGGCGCGAGAGACCAGGAGGAAAAATGGTTATTAAAAAAAAAAAAGATTATAAAAAAAAAAATAAAAAAAAAATCATATTTTGAAAAATTATTGATTCGAAAATAATATGATACAGTACTATTACGTCTGGGTCTCTGTGTTTCATTAAAGCTCGGCTCTGTGTGTGTGTGTGTGTGTGTGTGGAACGAGCCATTTTGTGTGCGTGCGTGAGCGAGAGAGAGAGATAGCGCACCGGTACCGGAGATCGTTGATGTTAGCTTCTGGTGCTAGCGAGCTATGCTAACGGATATAAGGAGTTTTTTTAACAACAAAGTGGAGGAGAGTCCTCTCCTGTCAGACTGAGAGACTCAGTGAACTAAAGGACTCTATCAGTGTTATCTCAGTGGGTCTCAAACGTTTTGGTCACCATTAATGTAAACAATTATTTCTGAGGCACACGTTTATATGATCATTATAGTTATAAAAAAATAAGAGAATAAATTAAAAACAGCTATGAAATACTATATGACAGTAAAACAAGAATAAAGTTTAAAAGAGTGATTTATAAAATATCCATAAAGAAATAGTAAATCTGTTTACAATTCTGTTTCATCTGGGTGTTGAGAGATGTATCCATAGATCTCTTCATTTTGCTCTCAAAGTGCACCAGATTGATGCTTTCAACTTCAATATTTAAAAATCTTCCCGGGGGAGCATGCCCCCGGACCCCCCTATGTGAAGTCCACACACCACCTATAAAAATAGCACTTTACCCCTGCTTACACCTATATGCCGAGATTTGATATCGAGCCTTCATTGTAACAGTCGCGGGTACATAGTGTATGTGCGTGGGGAGTGTTGCAGTAGAAAATTCCACTGTAGCTCCCGGTACATTAATGGGAAACCCTAAATGTTTGAGCACGCTCTATGAAAGGTCAAGCTACCCCACAGCACCCCCAAAAGAAATCTCTGGCGCCGCCACTGAGCCTGACTATTTGTGTTGGGGGGGCCCGACTTTTTTTTTTCTCCAAAGGGGGGGCCTGACCGAAAAAGTTTGAGAACCACTGACTTAGACAGAGAGAGGGAGGGGCAGGATCGGGTTTTGTCCCACATGGCTCTAAACAGCTCAATAGGCACACACTGTAGACACTAATTAGAAGAACACAGACTAAAACAGCAATGTACAGACGAATCAGATGATTAAACATGATCTTAAAATATATTTTATAATTTATTTTTTGCATTTTGTTGTAATCATTATTTTTAATACTTTCTGCTGACACTAGGTGGGGCTGTGCCTGCACCTGCCCCTAATGACCAGTCGCCACTGTACAAATACACAATATTGGACACAGAATATAAAGGGCACAAAGTTTCATTAACTATTGAAAGTCAAACACATGTTTGTTTCCACTGTTTTATTGTGTACCTGTCGCGATAAGCAATTAATTGACGTATCGCACGATAAATAAAAATGAACTCGATAAATTGCCATTTACATGAGGATGTGACTAGCAGTTTGAAAGGATGTACTTGAATTATTATTATATATTATCATTATGTCAGTGGTCTAAAATGGTCATACAACGGTGCCGACAATATTATCGTTTATCGCAATAATTTCCGGGAAAATGTATCCAACAAAATTAATTATCGTGAGAGCCCACATACGGGTATTGGGCCGAGCGCGACACCGTACTTACGGTCTGCGCCGTTTTACGCGAGGTGCAAGCAGCCGTACACCGTCTAGGTGTTGCTATGCTTCCTGTACTGAATATCATAGTCTATTGCCTTAATCAATATCTAGTCAACTCTAAAATACCACATATATGCAATGGCATGATAATATTATTGTGACAAGTGGGGTATTCACCTGGTGTTTCCAGAAATTAGACGTAGATGCTGCCAAAATCGACGAAGGCCACTGTCGTTTTTCCATACATCTGCAGGCAGTCTGTAACAACCCACACAGCTCTAGTTTACGCTGGTAACGACCTAAAGCACACCCCTCAAGTCCAGAGATGTAATCCGAAGACATGCAGCGATTTCTTCGGTCGTTAATTCAGAAAAAAAACCTACTGCGCTCTGCCTGGCTAGTTAGCTAGCTGTTTATATTTGCACTTCCAGGATATTAGCACCTCCAGGAAAATGGCGCATTTATATATATTTATATGGCGCGTGTTGCATTGTGGGTAGCTCGTGACGTCACTGTGTGTGAAAGAATACATGAAACACACACAAACAAATCTACAGACTTACTCCAAACTGCCAAATATATTAATTAACACACTCTCACTCTCATATACTCTTTGACTCTATTTTGGCCTAGTAGAACAATAAGCAGCAGACTTTTACTTTTTTATCATTTCTACTGGTTCTTAGATCTGCGCATGCGCAATACGGGTCGGCAGTTGCGAGAGAGTATTTGTGTATGGGATAACCCATACAGTGGTGGGGCTCATGTCAGTATTTGCAATGTAATTACATACACGCTCCCCTTGACAGTGAAACGCCACGCGTGAGGTTTAGATTATTTCCCTGTCTCAATCCAAATTGAACTGTATGAAATAAAAAGGCACATTTGTCTTGTAGTAAATAAAAAGGGCGACATGGAGCCAATCCTGCAATTTCCCCACAGGTGAAAGAGTTGACATGCTGAAAACCCAACCCCTGCAGGGGGGGGTCTGGGTGGATTCTCCCCCAGGAGATTTTTTTAGTTTTAGTTTTGAAATAGGCTACTAACATAAAATACACATTCTGGTACTCTCTTGAGAAGAAAAATAAATAAATCTATTACTACACGACATATTAAAACAATTAATTCCATTTTAGTTTTTTGTTACTTTGAAAGCTGAACCTGCTGCTCCTCACAGAGAGAAGAGGCTGTGTGAATTACTTTACATTGTGGATAAGGGTGGATAGCCCCCATTGTTCTGTGTGTCAAAATGAAAGACAGCCCACACACCTATCAATCATCAAACCGTGGGGTCTTATTTCATTACGTGTTGATTTCTATCAACACGTAATGTTGTATCGATGTATAGAGATGTACTACAACAAAAGTATTCTCCGTTGGGACTTCCTGGAACAACACCACGCCGTTATCTTGATTCTGATTGGCCAGAAGACATTATCAAAGATAATTTTGAGAAGACGATCACTACCTGACAAAAGTTTTCAAAACCGTTTCTAGTCTTCGGTATTCTTGTTTTTGGCGTTAGAATAGTTTGGGCAGCGTGAGAGCGTGAGATTGAGAGTGAAAGCATGTGTCACACGCCAGATGCGTGAGAGTTGGCAACCCTGATATAACTTTCTGTCTGTCTCCCTCCTTCTGTTCTCAGGTGCAGGCAGAGGTAAAGAAGGCGTGGTTAAGACGCAGCCTCGCTCTGGACCTCAAGCAGAAAGCCAAGATGACCAGCAGCGGAGGCAGCTGTTACTATGGCGGCATGATGTCTCACACCACCACACACAGCGTCAGTCTGTCTGCTGCCAACCCCCGGGCTCTGTCCTCAGGAGGAGCCTCGGGCGGCGGGGCAGGGGTCAGGCCGCCACGCCACGGCTCCCTCCACCCGCAGAGCAGCCTGCCTGGATACGTGCCCGGTGATGCTGAGACCCCCGGCCCCCAGCAGGAGCTGCCAGTGAGGAAACCAGCCGGGACGGAGACGGGGGTTTTTTCCAGGCACACCAGAGCCAGCAAGGAAAATCGTGACAGCAAAACTCATGGAGCACCTGAGGCACAAAACCCAGGAGCAGAAGATCCAGACAGCAGCTTATCTCTGAAAGAGCTGGAGACCATCCTGTGAATGTTTTCAGTATTTGAGAGATGAGCATAAACGAAGAAGTCATTTCTACAAACCTCTTTGTTGTTTTGTAAGACTGAGGACCTACATGACATTTTTAGGGTTTACTTGTGTTGGGATTGTTTTGTCAAGGTCAGGAAAAAACTTTAAGTCTCTCAACTTTTTTGTTCGTCATTTATTTATACAACTAAAGGTAGAAAGGCAAGTGGGGGAAAGAGAGGGGAATACTTCGGGTAAATCGGATTTTTACCTGTGTTGCTTCAGTATGGACTGGCAAAACTTTGAACATGGAGTTCTTGAAGGGCTCAGAAAAATGGACGACTACAATTCCATGACAGCTGTTTGCTCATGGAGATTTTGTGAATTTATCAAAAACTGAGCAGAGCTTATTATAAGGAACTCTGTACATTTTCATTGTTATGAGGATGATACTCAACTATATTTATTTATCCATCAAGCCTGATGAAACCAATCATCTAAATACAATTCAATGCTGCCTCAAGGACTAAAAACATGGATGACCATAACATGTTTTATGTTAAACACGGCCAAAACTGAAGTTATTGTACTCAGCCCAGTAAAGTCGCTTCAGCTGATTCAAAATGCTGCAGCTCGTGTACTAACCAGAGTTAGGAAAAGGGACCACATTACTCCTGTTCTGGCTGCCTTACACTGGCTCCCTATAGAACACAGGATAGAATTTAAAATTCTTCTTCTCGCCTACAAAGCCCTTAATGGGCAGGCGCCATCTTACCTAACTCATTATACCCTACTGTCCTACTAGGGCATTGCGTTCCAAGAATGCAGGGTTGTTGGTTGTTCATAGAGTCTCTAAAAGTACAATGGGAGCCGGGAGTCGTGGCTGATCCTGTTGCTGTGGTCCTGGATCCTGGGTCCTGGATCCTGAGTCCTGGATCCTGAGTCCTGGATCCTGAGTCCTGGATTTTGAGTCGTGACTGAACCTGTCACTGTGGTCCTGCCTGACTCATCATACTACTTCCCTGATGGCTCCCTCCTGGGTTCATCTTCTTATTATACACACATGCATTTCCAAACATTTGGACTACCTATGTTGAAAATGTATTATCTTTTTCAATTTACACACAGCATCTATTGCACGTCTGTCCGTCCCTGAGGTTTCTCCCATTTTCCCCTTTAAATTGTGAGGTTTCTTTGGAAGTTTTTCCTTGTACGATGTGAGGGTCTAAGGACAGATGGTCGTATTGTCATACTTATATTCTGTACAAACTGTGAAGACCACTGAGACAAATGTAACATTTGTGATATTGGGCTATAATGATTGATTGATGAACTTGTTTTTTGCTTAGCAACGGTCTTAGGTCATTTTTTTTTGTAGGTAGGATCAAACTACCATCACATAAAATATGAGCATAGAAACACAAACACATTTTAGAAAATGACACTGAAGGCCTTTTCTCATTACAGAGTACAAAATCAGGATTGTATGCAAGACTTGTTGTAAATCTTTTTAAGAACATCTCACTGTAAATGGACTGAACGTGTATTTATATCCTTTTAAATGATGTCAACAGAGTTCGATAATCTGTGAGGATAATGAAGAATCTGTAGGGAATGAAGAAAAGTCAAAGGCAGGACCTGGATGTTTACACAGGAAGACTTTTTGGTGATATTTCTCCCTCTTCAAATCTTTCCTGTGTTGGATTTCCCAGGCCAGACTGGCTGACGTGTGTGTGTGTGTGTGTGTGTGTGTGTGTGTGTGTGTGTGTGTGTGTGTGTGTGTGTGTGTGTGTGTGTGTGTGTGTGTGTGTGTGTGTGTGTGTGTGTGTGTGTGTGTGTGTGTGTGTGTGTGTGTACTCTGTCTATCAATCTGCTGTAGCAATCTTAAATGAAAAACACCACGGCCCCATGACTTTACATCACATCCATTAACCCTAAGGGTCTGGGTATAATGAAGTTAAGTCTCATATTGTGTGAGACATTTAAAAGAAATGGGGTATTTACTGACACATTTGATGTCTTGGACCAAAACATTAAAATATCTGAAGCTTGTGTTAACCACAGACCTTTTCTCAGGCATCTAACTAAAAACACAAAACATTTAATGCTAACTCTTTTCCAGATGTTAAGACTAATTACTTCAGAACTCTATATACTTATCATTCAGCAGTGTCCAGACAGCTTGTCTAGACAGCGTATGTTTCTCTGTTGTTGTCAATATTGTAAATACAGCCATATTTATCAGCCTGACTGGACCCTAAGGGCTGACACAAACCTTCTGCCCCTCGCAGGCCAAACCCCAGCCCCTTCCTCCCTGTAACCTCTGCCCCGACCGCCCTCGCAACACCGTCCAGAATTTCACACTTTGTCCTCAGGATCTGACTTCGAGCTTCAGGAACCTGAGCTCTTTAAAGACTTCGAGCATGAGTGACAAAACCTGCAGAACAAGGTAAACACACAGGGAATTGAACCTGCACATTTCAGGGCTGGTTATAAAATAGAGAAAAATATAAAGCGTAAGATTATTTTAGTTTTTTTTTTAGGAGTATGCATTGAAATGAGAAAAGTGAATCAAATAAAACTGAACTAAAATGAATGGGGGTGATTTATTTACCACTTGTTAGCCCTATGTGTTTTCAAGGCAATGCACTTTACGGCATACTGGTTTCAGGATGTAAAAGTAGAATCAAAAAGGTTTTTCAGTTTTCTTAATTCTACCTTTATTTAACCAGGTATGTCCTACTGAAGTTTGGAACCCGTTTTTAAAGAAAAAGCTTTCCAAAGACAACCAAATAAAGGTTACAAACAACACAATAAAAGATTAAGAGATTAGAGAGATTAAGATTTAATGTCAAGAGATTGAATAATGTGATATAAACAGAAAGGCTATAAAAGGCTAAATTAAGAATGCAATTTTAAATCATGTAGTTAACAATGGTCATCACGTCTGCCAGAGATATCAGATTCATTTCTTTGATTTCCTCCTGCAGACTATCTCTATAAGTGGCTGCGCAGAAAACCTGGAGGCTTTGTCTCCTCTCTCTGTAGGGACAATATGGTGAGACACTGTGTACAAAAGAGGTGTCACCATTACTGGAGGCAATAATGACAAGTATAAAGCTCAGTGTGGCTCAATATGACAATTCCATAGTGGATGCATATCCTCAACGTTCTGAAATACATGAGCCGAGAAATATGTGAATACACTAACATGAGATATATATATAAAACATTTGTTCATCCTTTTTTCAGGGCTTTTTTGTGGCATTCATCTACTGTTTCTGCAATGGAGAGGTAATGAATCAGATACTTTTGAAAAGCAGATGTACTCTAATAATAAAAGCTTTTTGTTTAGATGTCTGAGAGTCATCAAAAGCATGGACTTCTAGAAAACATACGGAATAAAGCTCTGCCCCCTGTTGAAAAAAGGAAACATTACAAGGTAAAATGTCCTCACTGGTTTACGCCCAAGATATAAGTCAAAATACATAAACTAATTATCAAGCAATATTTCCGTGTGCACTGTTTCTGACTTTCCCACAATGAAAACCCTAAAGGCAGAACATCCCTTTTAGACAAAAACCACATGTCGATGTAAAAAAAAACAAAAAAAACAATAACTTTAGAACAGAGTTTGACTTGCTTATCACTCAGGCATTTAGAATAAGGTTATCATGATACTGAAGGAAATGGGATTAGTTTTTAAGTAGTAATAGTGAACATACCAAACTCCAAGCACACATGGACTTAAGACATATCATCGCAGTAATTCAACATTTGTCAGATTTGAATATAAATAATATATATATATAATTTAATCTAACAGTACATAACAAACAAATAACTGTGACTCCTGTTAAAAGCTTGACATACGTTTGCCCTAAAATGTGCTCTTCCTTACCCTACCATTCCGAAAATATTTGATGATAAAAATGGGCCCATACATCTTGTATATCAAGCAATTCAACCTGAATCACATTTTCTATATTCTATTCATGGGCACTTCTAGTTTATTCTGCATATAAGCGATATGCCCTCTGATTGTCCTTTACAGACTAAAATTGTATATTTCACAGCTCTGGTGTGAAAACAGAAATATAAAGCATCCGAACATATGGAGTGCCAGACACAGATATGCATGAGTGATTGCTCCTCCACCAGGACAAACAAAAAAAAACACCAACCCCCACCAGCAATGTATGGTGGCAACCAGCTGTCAGCTCATTAGAGAGGAAAGGTTGGGCGGCAAAGTGTCCACAGGGTGATCCAGACATTATCTACTGTTAGCAAGAGGGTGAAGGAAGAGGAGAGAGGAGGAGAGGCTGATGGGAAATGACAGGAGGAGGAAATGATCAAGCATGATGACTAGAGGTGATGATGTCAGTCACTCTCATTGTACAGTAAACCCATTTTCAGAGGCTGTTATTGAACAGGAAACTTAACGCTCAGTCACATGATCACATGGTTATACATTATAGGTGCTTTGTGGCCTTAAAGAGAAAGTGTGGTTCATAAAACAACATGCAATTTTGGGAGCTCTCTGCACTTCATTTTGCAGAACAGGACAACACACACAGTATATCATATGCTTTAAATAAACGTAAATAACACACCATTGAAAACATGTCGCAATATAATCAATAAATCAATAATGAATTATTGTTATAGGCTATTTTTGATTGTCAAAATGTGTAATATTTGTTTCACTTAAATTTGATTTAGTTTTTTATATTACCTTTCATTCAAGTCTAAATGTTGTTATTTGTCATGTTCAGTCTTTTAATGTAATAATTTTTATTTGTTGTCTTCAGTCTTTTTATTTTCTGTTTTGCTTTGTCTGTTTCATTTAGTTTCTTCATTTAGTCATGATCCGTCTTTTGTTTTATTTATTTTTTCAACATACTCAGTCTTTTAATTGCATTTATTTCCCCGACATTTTTATTTATAATTTTTTTCTCCATCATGTTGAGTCTGCATGACGAGCCCATGACGTCATGTTGAAGTCATAAAGTAGGCGGGGTCAGAGAGAGAGCAGCAAATGTATTGCAGTCCTCAGCGAGTCCTCTGTGTATGAGAGTAATAATAAACCCCACATACTGCATGTTCCGGTGTTTCTGATGCCTCAGGCTGTGTATCCTCCGGCGTAAGACGAAGCACCAGCTGCCGGCAGGAAGCAGCTTCCTCTCCGGCCAGGAGTGCATGCGGAGGGCCGGTGGCCGACAGGGAGGGGTCCTTTGATTTCAGGGCTTCCTCCTCCTGGATGGAGCCCGGCTGTGTGCAGCCAGCGATGGCCATGGAAGATAACTCGAAAAAAACACCGGGTCGTAACGTAGCGGTGGAGAGAAAAAACCTGATTACCGTGTGCAGGTCAGTGTGCTGTCAAAGTGTGTGTGTGTGTGTGTGTGTGTGTGTGTGTGTGTGTGTGTGTGTGTGTGTGTGTGTGTGTGTGTGTGTGTGTGTGTGTGTGTGGTGTGTGTGTGTGTGTGTGTGTGTGTGTGTGTGTGTGTGTGTGTGTGTGTGTGGTGTGGTGTGTGTGTGTGTGTGTGTGTGTGGTGTGTGTGTGTGTGTGTGTGTGTGTGTGTGTGTGTGTGTGTGTGTGTGTGTGTGAAGTACGTGTGTGTGAAGTACGTGTGTTTTAAGTGCCTGGGATCTGAATTTAGTGCAGTATTTAACAGGTTAAATGTTGCATATATGACAAGTGGTCATGTGGTTATAATTTGTTAATGTTTTTTCTGGTGTTTTTATTCTAACACTAGATAATAAATGCACACAAGACATCTTCTGACATGCATGCTTACGTCATCCTCATAATAAGTCATTATAATGAACTCTGGGCCTGTGCGGACATGAAGCCTGCATGTGTATTAACAACCTTTTAATACACATCATGTTTATTTTATACTTACAAAATCAGACAGACTTGCCTCTGAGTTTAGCAGTGTCATCTCTGTCAGTGAGATGTATCTCCTCCCTCCTGATGGGGTGGTTGCTATGACGACAACCTTCCTGGGGCAAGGACTAGCTGGCACCCCTGGGACTCAGGGCATGGAGGCAGTTACTTAAAGTGTCCTGATTGAACCATGAGGGGGGGGTTTGGATAAAGGTTTGTACTTCAAAGCTTTTGCCAGAACACATACAGTATAGACATAATCATACTGTATGCATGCTTGCTATTGACCACACAGTGTAAACATCAGCACATATAAACTATATGTTTACATGCATGTCATATTAACTTACCGTGAAGATCTTCATTCAGAGATGTGGTCTGTAGTTAGGTCTGCTTTAAAGTGTAAACACACTCAGTTAAAGTAACTAGCATCACATTTAAAGCTGCCACTATCAATATTTTTGAGCTCATTGTTTTGATTGTCCAGTTCGCACATTTTCTGTTTTGGTTCACTTTCAATTGCTCAAAACAGCTAAATGGCTGACTATTTGTTACTTTTTCTGTGCCAAACAGTCGACAGATGCAGTTGGCGATTCACAAGTAAACATTTAGCAGTTAAAGAGCCAAATACTTCCATCTGG